GTGAACTTTTTTAAAAATCTAACCGAAAGACTTTGACGTCAAACTTGATATTTTCTAAAAAAAAATACTCTACATCAATAATTTCAAAGATACCTCACGTCGTGGAACTATGTTCAAAAATACGAGAAAAAGGTACAATACTTTTTTTTAAGAAAAATTTTGAAAAAATTTTAATTTCAGCAGTTTACAAAATATCAGTTAATTGTTACACGGATAAATAAATGTAGAAGTTATTAATAATAACTTATTACTGTGCGTGGTAAAGGGAAAAGAGGTGAAGTTTATTTTCGTTTTTAGTCCAATTTAAAATTCTGAGTTCAAAATAACGCCATCAGCAAAACTTGACTTATGCAGATTTATCTATTCGCTTTAATTTTTTCAAGTGCCAGTAATAAATATCAGTTTGTAAGGAACTGACTTAAATTATTCCAAACCAATAATGATTTTGGTTTGGAGTGTATTCAAGATGCATCGTCAAACTAGAAATTTGCCAGATTTCGTAAAACTGAAGTTATAGCAATTTTCCCAAGCAAATCAGATTATGCTTACACACATAGGTTGTTAGATTATTTCGCAAGCAGATTATTTCGCACACAGTATTGTCCAAAAGAATTACTTTTTTTTGAAAAATGTCCACCGTAATTTTGCAAAAATTGAGTATAAACTTGTACAAAATAATAAAGTACCTAGTCACGTTTTTGTTACAAAATCTTGTAAATATTTAATATCTTGTGGATTTTGCAAAATACTAGAATTCATTGAGCAAATGTGACGCCAAGAAGTAATTTAGTTGAGAAATGTACATTTGGTTGTTTTACAACAGATAAAGTTGAGAAAGGTATTTAAAATCAGTAATAAAATATACGAATGAATTGATTCCGTAGTTTTAATCAATGTTCAAATTTCGGCTCAAATTTCATAATCAAAAATTATTCATAGGTTTCAAACAGTTTAAGAAGATACAATTTGTTGGAGTTGTTCTTTTAAAATTGTAATTTTTATTTGAGCTATTAAATAAAAAAATTGAGCACCCGAAGACGCAAGGCGATATCTAATTAATGTATTTTCTAACACATTAACACGTGAATTAATTTATCGCCGTGGAACTTAACCGTTTTCATTTTACAGACTAAATTCCGAAAACATACTGCTAGAAATCTGATATAGTCAGGCGGGTATTGATTTCTCGGTATTAATGCTGCTACCGTTTTGTATGCAAATTATTTCGGTCCGTAAAAATTTGCTACCGAAATGGTGAAACTTTAAAACCGAGCTATTACTACATGCATGTTATCACTGCCACTAAAGTCATTTATGCATGAATACCGGTCGCCTTGCAAGATTATTTCGCACGCATATTAATATGTATCTAAATAAATTGAATTACTTATTAAGTGAAAAATGTACCACAGTGTCCAACGTACTTTTGCAAAAATTGAGTACAAAGCGTGGGTTCGATTTCTGGTGCCATCCCGTGTGCAGGGAATTTTCGAGCATTTTGAGGAAATGCTCGAAGATTTGATTTAACAGAATTTTTGAATATTTTTTTAAAAAGAAATGCTGAAGGTTTCAGGCAATTTTTCAGCATTTTTTAAAGGAAAATTTAAAGTTTCAGGGAATATTTATAGAGCATTTTTATATGGTTGGTTTCTTACGGAGATGGGAATTTTCCCGGATTTTCTTCTCTCCGTTTTCCGGGAATAAGGCAGAAATCGAACCAACGGTACAGATTTGTTCAAGATAATGAGTACTAAATTATAGACCCACTTTCTTTAAAAAATCCAGTTAATATTAGTTATTTTGCGGATTTTGCAAAATATTCTAATCTTCTGGTTAAGGTTACGCCGAGAATAAATTTAGTGAAGGAATTTATATTTCCGTGGATTACAACAAATTCGAATTCGAACTTCGCCGGGAGTGATTAAAAACTTATTTTTAATTATTTTGAGTAAATAAACCCTATTGAAAAGTTGAGATAAATACAGAGAATTAGTAATAAAACAAGAATGAATTGGTACTACTAATTTTAAAATCAATGTTCAAATTTTCATTTCAAATTTCGTAATCTAAAATTATGAATGAGTTTCAAATAATTCTTTTAAAATTTGGAATTTCCATGTGTATTGATCAAGAAAAATTATAAAGGAGGCTGAGATCATCTAATTCCTTTGCGCCCCAATATTTTTGCACATTAATTTATTTCTCGCCGTTAAACTTGATCATTTCCAACTAAAACTCGAAAACGTACAAATATTTCGAGTCCAGGGTTTGGAAAACCCCGGGGTTTTTGTAGAAAAACCCAACCCCTGGGGTTTATCCGGGGTTTTTGGGGTTTTTGTGGGTTTTTGGGTTTTTGTGGGTTTTTGTGGGTTTTTGTAGATTTTGGGGCAGGTTGAACCAGAATTCCTAAAATTATATATTAGAGATAAACTAATTTTATATACAATTTTAACATGCAATTTTAACCGTTATCATTGATTTGGACTGTTACATCGAAAATTTATGTTTGACATGTAAATCTGGATATATGCAATGATATTTGGAAATTCAAGTCGCAAATGAAGATTCTCAAAATTTCAAGATGAAGTAGAAAAGTTAATTAGCATTGATCTACGTTGTAGTTTAAGGGATTTTGTTTCAATCTACCTCAAAATCCTACAAAAACCCCGGAAAAACCCACAAAAACCCACAAAAACCCGCAAAAACCCCATTAAGCATTAGGGTTTTTCCGGAGATTTGATACCCCAAAAACCCACAAAAACCCCAAAAACCCCAACCCACAAAAACCCGGGGTAGCGAACCCTGATTTCGACCCCTTTAAAGCGTTTAAGGAAACGAACAATTCAAACGATTGCAAAACCATGTTAATAAACTTGATTTGCAAAGTTTGCGCACATAAGTGATTTCCCAATTTGACGTGAATAAGTCTAATATATAGGTTTATTTTTGATTATAAAATTTGTGGACAAAATTTTAATGCGTAAATAAATAAACAAGACTCGAGTCGGTTGTACACTTTTTCTAACCCATCCGAACCAAATCCGAAAATTTCTGTTGAAAAAATATCGATCCGAATCGAATCCGAATTTTTCGGCTGAAGAAATATCCAAACCGAACTAAACGATTGGATTCGGTTCGAATGAATACCTTATTCAAAAGTCGGATAGCCAACTCAACTCTAAAATGAACTCAAAATATTGAAATCTAATCGTGACTTTAGTAAATGTTTGTTTCACGAATTTTACACAAACTTTGTGTAAAATAAATTATTACTGATGCCGTCGATTATGCAACGACTTAAGCAGAGTTCGGCGGACATCGGGCGAAACCCTCCAAATATCCGGATATATATCTATATCCGGGCCAAAATCTCGCCCTCCACCCTCCAATATCTATGAAAAATTCTCACCCTCCAACCTCCAAACCTCCAATATCCATGATATCCGCCGAGCTCTGGACTTAAGATTACAGATTTTTAGCTAACGCAACTGCGGAAAAATTAAATTGTTATATTTAATTCGTTGTATTTTATAATTTGTAAATACTAGAATTTAAAAAAATTTTCGACTTTCTAGATCCAAAAACTGTTTGTTAAGTTGCAAATAAGCAAACTGCAAATAAGTTTTGCATACGATATAGAAATTAGTTTAGGGTTTTCACCTATGCGGATTCGTTAAAAACATATTCGTAAATTTAGGTTAGTTACAAAGGGTTGACGTGAAAGACCCTTCGTAAAATATATTTTGTAAAAATTGTTTTTATTTTTCCTTGCTTAATATTTTCAGTAATCATGGTGTCCGAAATATCATGATTATTTTATTTGTACGAAATTTGTTTAACGAAAATGATGCATCAACATTGCGTAAATATATTTACGAAGCTTCGTAAGCATGGAATTTTCATAGATGTCGTTAATTTATGCTACTTACAACCATACCTGTTCAAAAAAAAACTTTTTTCATTCAAAGGTCAGTCATCCCGATTTTTTGCTGAAGATTTTCATTCGCATTCAGTGATTTTCTTTCAAACTCATTTCATTTCACTTCATCTGGCTTCATTTCTTACTTCATCCCATGTATTAAGCATAGGGCGAAAAATGAAGGGAGTGCAAAATCCTTTCATTCACACTCATTCATTTGAAATGTCTGAATCTTTCATTCATTTTCATTCACCATCATTCTCAATCATAATTAGTCACATGAATGAAAGTGAACAGGTATGCTTACAGCATTTACGACAGTTACGAAGGTGACGTGAAAACCCTCATAAAAAAACATTAACCATACTTATTTAAAAAACATTCCATAGGTACATATATTTCATAAATAATATTTATTTGAAACACGTAAGTGTCAAAATGCAAAATTTAACAAAACTGTTATTATTAAGAGACCCAAAGATCATTTCGACATCACTTGGAAATTATGCAAATCCCCTGAAAAATTGCGAATACGTAATAGTACAGCATGAAGAAAGACATCATAAATTTAAGAAAAACATTCTAATTGGTACTTAATTTCATAGAAAACCTTCAAAAATCAACTCAAGCTAAATATCCACACTTCACTTTTGCTTAATCGATGCGTGTATGCACGGTTAAAAATCTAGTAAAGTCACATGTATACTCCGCACCGGTATTGATTTGGTAACAACTTTTTACCGGATTGGTAGTAGCTTGTTTCTGCGTAGGAAATTGTTCATTAAAACAAGACTACTAAACGGTAATGCCTGTTGTTACCAGTGCCGGAAAAGTCATATATACTCCGGTCAATAATGGTTTAATACCAGTTTTCTAGCAGTATTAAAACATATTTATGCCTAAAACATCATCAAAATCTTAAAAAAAAAATTCAGTCAAAATAAGAATTAAAATGGTCTCCTCTCTAACCTTGTCTCCTTTCCTAGCTAATATTTTGATATCTATTTCGCAATATTTTGCAAAAATATTGCGACTTGAATATTTTGCAAAATTTCACCCAAAACAGTGCTTAACCTCTCACCTTGTCTCCTTTCCTTGCCAATTCCTCGAGCAAGGGAAGATACGTAATTACATGGCTTTTACTCCCGAAAAACTCCACGGCCAAGATGTTCCGACCCTCAACACTCTCAATTTCAAATCCCAACCCCAAAATTAGGAGAATTAATACCACCCCCGTTTTAGAAGTTGACTCATTTGCAATTTTTCCCATTTTTTGTGCAATATTTATTAATTTACTGGAACTAATATTGCCCACATGGAACCCGACGTGGGGGAAAATCGTGCTTGTGACTTGCAAAGATAATTTGGACAAATGAATTCTGCTGAATCATACGGAGTCGTCCAGTTTTTTATGATAATGAAAAAACGACCTTCGGCTCAATTCAGATGCAATCTTGTATAATGATAAAGCTGATATGGTTTGGGGTCTGCAATTATCTCTGCAATTGTGTGTCATGTTGGGCACATGTACGTAGTTCATGCAGTCCTTGGTAACTTTGTAAAATCCATGCGTTTTGTAAAATGATTTTACAAACTTATACAAAATAAGAAGATGCCTTTGATCTTAGCAAGTTTTCAAAAAAGGGTAATTTTCCTTTGAAATATTTGTCAAATTTTGAAGCAATTCATTGAGTTTGTACAAAGTTTGTACAAATTGTTGGGCCACTTGTGGCATGTTTTTATAATCTTTTCCAAAATTTATTTATTTATTTCAAATTTCTAAATTATAAATTTGTACAGGAACGAAATAAAGCTAACAATTTATCCTATTTTTTAACTAGTTTTTTGTTTATACGAGTTTCCCGAAATTTTTACCACGCACCAAGTGTAAATTCTCCTCAGGATCGCGTAAATGGCGAACAGGGTTCCTAAAATGATGGCCAAATAGGCAGCAATCACGTCGAGGGAGTGGTACTGAATTGAAGACAGATTTCGCGCCGGTGACCGCAATTGTGGCGCACCTGAAAATAATTTACAAAAATATTATTGAGGCTTCACACAATCATTGGCAACTTTGTATAAACTAATTCTTAAAAAAAAACTTAGGTGAGGCTTGCTTAAAAGGGGGAAACAAGAGGTTATCATCGTGTAGTAAAATAATATGCTACATCAATGTTCATCTCATGATTTATAATTTTAGGTGAATCCAACAACAAATTATATGCCTTTCGGACCATTTGCCTCGCCGTGGGCAATTTTATGATTCAAATAATTAAAATAACTTGAAAATTTATTAACGCTCAGTGCATTTAATACACATATGCAGTAATAATTCATATGAAACGATACAGGATTTCGTTAGATAATTTCGTTATCCATAATCTATTGGTGATTTAATGTACGAAGCTTGAGTTAGTTTGTAACATGAAATATTATATTTCAGAACATTAAATGTTAAAAAATTCGACCTATCTTTGAAATATATTCATGTAGGCCATCAGTATAAGCAGAATCGAATAGTAAGAGGATTGCAACTTATGTATATTTAGGTACAAGCATCAATATGGCGCACATACTATATATATACATATATGCATTGGTATGGAACAATTAATCAGGCCCACGGCGAGGCAAATGGTCCGAAACGCATATAATTTGTTGTTGTATTCACCTAAAATTATAAATCATGAGATGAACATTGATGTAGCATATTATTTTACTACACGATGAGAACCTCTTGTTTCTCCCTTTTAAGCAAGCCTCACCTAAGTTTTTTTTAAAGAATTAGTTTATTTTTTTGTTTTTAAGTCTCTTTAAGTTGTCATCAATAATAGATACCAAATTAAATCTCATTAGCCTGGATGCGTTACATAATATGCAATTAATTCTCCAGTGGGTGTGAATGCGTGGAACACCAAATTAAATTCCCCTATCACCCGTGGACTAAAGGGCAAGAAATGCATCAACATCATACATACATGTATTTTGTATATACACACACTTAGAAATCTGGTATAATTGAAATCTCAGTGGTTCCTATTGCTTGCAATACGATGACGCCAGCGGTCTAGCTCCGATTTTGACGAAAACACGATAATTATGTATCCTTAGATAAATGATTAAACACGTGTTTCAGGATTTTTCGTAATGCTCATCCTTAGTTTAAACAAAGTTATGATGGAAAACGTGAAAGAGAATTTGCATTTTCACCGTGAAATTTTTCTCACATGGGAGAAAACGAAACATGATTACGTCAGAGCATTAGTTATGAACACCATTTTTGTAGTCATTTCTGAATACCGCTTGGTACTATTTTAATACTGGATTTCTAAAAGTGCATACATGTACATACATATTTACATGTTTAGATATTTGCATATGTAAGTGCAGAGCTTACATGTTTCTATTGTGCTGGTTGCTAATAGAAACGAGTATTTATTATAAGTAATGAAGAAACATTACAAGTAACGTAACTGGCTGCAGATGCTACCAAGAAAACTTTTTAATTTTTTATCCGATTTCGCTCGGGTTTGTTTTAAATGACGCGTTATAGATTTCCGCACATTAAAACATAGACGAGTCACAACCTTTGCATGGCAAAAGTGAATTTGCAAGTCGTTTGAAAGTTTAAAATCGATTTAAAATGGGTTAAAATATGATTGTCATGTTTATAGACCTGACGGGCATCATCTACCCAGCAAGGTCTGCACGATTGCCTTTTACAACATTTTGATACGATTAGCCGTTTTGCCACAATCTTGAGTGGAATTTTGGGAGGGGGGGTCTGTTTGCATTCTTACGCTTTGCCGTAACCATGCATTTTTTCATGTGTTCATGGTTACTATGCCTCACCTAAGAAAAAATAAGTGCGTTCTGTAAAATGAATTTTTTATACAAACTTGTACAAAATAAAATGAGGCCCTTGATCTGGTTAAGTTTAAAATTATCTGTGTAAAATTTTGCACAATTTATGTATGTATGAAAGAAAGATTGTTTTACATAAATTGCAACAAAATAATTTACAACTTATCACGAATTATTTTATTTAATTAGTAATTTATTAAAATAGGAATTAATTTATTTGTGCACTTTATGCGAATTTATGGGTCCACGGTAATATCTTATCTACTTGAGAAAATATGCTTGTAACATTTTACAAAATTTATTGATTCGGCACTTTACTCCTGCAAAATGTGTATTCAATTTCCGCAATCATTCATTTGTTCCTTTGTTCCTTTGTTACGTGTATAAAATTATAAAATAGTTTTACACCCCATTTACAAAGTGAAAAGATCCCCTTGACCTGACCATGAGCAAGTTTACACAAAAATTTGGAATATAATTTTCCTCAGAAATATTTGTATCATTTTGTAAAAGTTTGAAAGTTACCGAGCACACATTTAATCATTGAGATTTATAAAATAAATAAAAAACATTTAGTTTTTTAAAAAAAATTGATGGAAATTTTCTAACCTTTGTGTCGCATGACGTACTCCAACCAAAACATGCCCCTATCTAACGGATTATCGATCTGGTCACGAAAAACGGTCGACAATCGGTGCACGTTTTCACGATATCTGAAAATAATTAGGAGAATTTTAGATTAAATTGAAGTTTAAAATTGCATGATTTAAACATCGTAATAATTTGTTTATAAAAGGCTAAATTAATTTAGTTGCAAGTTAGATCCCTGGGATACTGTATCCTATGATATAAAAGTAAATGCACGGAGTTTGGGACATTTTAGGCAGTTTATAGAATAAATTCAAGGAATTCTGGACATTTTTGGCATTTTGGACATATTTTGAGCATTTTGTACAATAAATGCAAATTTTGGACATTTATGGTATTTTTGACATTTTCGGCATTTTATACACAGCTTAAATGGTAAAGAGATCATTAAATTAACACAAATTAGACACAAATGCAAAGAATTGAGGACATTTAGGGCATTTTAGACATTTTGTACACGGTAATGAAATCATTAACGTAACACAAATTAAACTCCCCTTAAAATTAAAATCGTCTCACTTTGGATTATTGATGACTTCATTGATCGCTTTGGTGAGGCTTTCTTCCGTCAAATCGTTCCAGTCGAGCCTGACGAGGTAGCCGTGCTTCTCGGCGGCCTGCGCGTTGAGGGGCTGGTCTCCGAAGAAGGGCATCCCCAGGAGGGGCACCCCGTGGAAGATGGCCTCCTCCGTCCCCCCACCCCCGCAGTGCGTCATGAACAGACGGATCTTCCCGTGCCCGAGGAGGTCCTGCTGGGGCAACCATTTGCTCAGAAGCACGTTCTTAGGCACGTTCGAAACATCGTCCGTTTCATACTTCCAAATCACTTTCTGCTTCAAACGACCAAACACGTTGAGAAAAATGGCACGTTTTTCTGGGGCCATTTTACTCGCGACGAGATTAGTCCCGAGGGAGAAGAGGATGAAACCCGCGTCACCTGAGGAGGCGATGAAGTCTTCCAAATCCTGAAATTATGGGGACAGTTTATTATCCAATCGGTAATAAATAGTACACTTATAGGAAATTATTATCAGTATGGATTATATATATATCTATATGACTCTACCTATAGGTAATAACGAGCATTGCCGTTTTGCAATGTTATGGTAGTGAAAAATTTACCACTCAGAAACTTAGAACTACCAAGCTGGCAGGAAATTATTACAAATCTCTATACCGGATTTTTCATACTTCAATCGACATTTAATGTTTGATACTATAAACAAAAACTTTAGCTTACAATTAGAAAATGAAAAAATTAGAAAATTAGAAAATTGTTAGAAAATTAACGACTTTTTAAAAGATAAATCTATTGTCGTACTAATTTTTTTTATAAAAATTAACTTTACATTAAAGTATGAAAAGTTGCATCTGCTTAAAACTGAGTTGTAAATTATCTTCATAATTATTTTTTACCAAATGAATTTTGAATTTGAATTACGGCGTGAAGCTACAACTCGAAGACTAAAATTTCTTAAAGTTTCCATTAATTAAAACATATGGAAATAAATAACACTTGTTTATCAAAATTGATTACCAAAATATTTTGTCAACTGTATTATTGATTTGTGTTAAATTATCTACGTAAAAATTAATACAAGATGCAAACCTTTGAAAATTGTGAGTTAAACACTTTAGCCCATAAAAATTAATATTATTGGCAAAGTGTAAAATATTACTAACAAGATTCCTGAATTTTTTTGAAAATTTGAGTCCTACGTTAAATTTTACAGACTTCAACTATTAGAAGTCTGATAATATTACTCAAGACAGACTACAGAAAAAATTGCTGTTTTACCTTCGGTACTGGTTTCAACTTTGGTAAAAATCGTCATACTTAAAAATTGTTATATTTAGATAACCATTGGTAAAGTTTGGTATAATTGATATATTCGAAAATGAGTAACTATTTGTAAAAATTGGTAAAAATTGGTAAAAATTGGTAAAACCTGGTAAAAATTGGTAAAAATTGGTAAAACTGGTAAAATCACTTTTCCTTCATAAATTAAAAAATTTCGAAATTTTATTACCTTCGGCAGAGGTTTCGCCTTCCTAGAATGAATCCCACCCACATCCACGACATCCGGAAGATTCGGTTTCGGCCGAGCCAACGCAAAATGCCCATTGGACAAAATCATCGACGCTTTCCCCAAAATCTCCCCCGATCCGGGCGTCTCACTCCCGACCTTCTCCCTGTACAGCTCCTCCATCACGGGCAAATAATAATACGTATAGGCCGCGTCGAACATTATGTTAATCCCAAAATTTAAAAACCTCTCGTAAAACGTCATGTCATCCCCGAAATTTACAAAAGTGTTCGAAACGAAGGAACTCGGATGATACCCGCCAAGCTTTGATACCACAAAATTCGGCGCGCTCAGTGGCAAAAATAGAACGAGCGGCGGCGTGGTCGCGTTAGATTTCGTCATGATTTTGTGAATAAATCCGAGCGCGCAGTCGTTAAAGAGCGGCTGGAGGAGGATCAAGTCGAAATCGATGTCATATAGCGCTTTGACTTCGGGGCGTTCGTAGATTTCACGACATCCTTTCGGTACAATTTGGGTCAACAGGGTCCAAGGGTTCATTTCTTCGTTTCGTTCCTTCATAGCGAATAAATCGAGATTATACTCCTTCCACATGGCGTCGCTGTTAATGCCGAAGATTTCCGTGATGTTGGGCTCTTTAGTGAGACCTTTGGACGGGCTGAGGAGTGTCACCTGAGATAAAGCGGGACAATTAAAATTGTAAGAATTAGTTGAGTGCAAAATTTTTGCGAAAGTTGACCATAGTCAAACAGACTGAGGACATGGATTTAAGCGAAATTGTAGATGAAATTGCTATGGTATGGTATTTCATTTTCAAGAATAAAATTTCCAAGTCTTTCTAGCTGGGAGGACGATGTAAAAATCAATTATTTACTAATTTTTTAGTTGGAAAAATTTGTAGATTTCTAAAAAAAATCTAAAATAGTAATAACAAATTTTTTTGTCTTTTTGGATACACACATTTTGAATTATTACATACATATTTATTTTGCACTGCTAGAGTTACATACACGCCACATTTAAAAATTTACGAATTTCGTATAGGAAAAGTAAGCTAGATTAATACGTACCTTCTGCAGTGTTCTGCGTGAATTACGTGTATATGTAAAATGTGTAAATGTATAATTTGTGAAAACAAAAAATACAAATCACACGTGGAGTGGAAGGTTTTAATTACAAGGTTTATGAGTACTTAAAAATTTTGTATATTTCCATGAGCATATTTTTCGTGCGAATTTCTAAATTTTTCCTCGTTTCGCAACGTTTCTGCGATTTCAACTTTAGTTATTTTTTTTTTACATATTTCAATTTTATACACATAAATCAAAAAACCATATTGGTTACTCTGGTCGAATGGGCAAATCACTCAGGTTTATGATTACGAAAGCTATGTAAACTTTGTAAATCTTTTTAACTTCTTAAGGGAAACCTTTCTTGCAAGTTTTCAACTGTTTGATCGAGTAGAAATATTTGTATCATTCGGAAATGATCAAGTTTAAAGGCGATAAATTAATTAACGTGTAAACATATTGATACTCATAGCAATTAGATGGTATCAATCGCATTACATAATTTTTTCTGGTAAGCACAATTGAAAATTAAAATTTCAAAAGAAGGACATATTATGTATCTTTTTGAATTGCTTGAAACTAATAAACAATTTTTAGATTGATTTTTATACCATAAATTTTAAAATTGATTTTAAAATTAGATCATTGAGTCAATTAATTCTTATATTTTATTATGGATTTCTCTCAACTTTTCCTCATCAGGGATTTTTTGCATTAATTAATCTTTAGAAAATTTGTAATTAATCTTTGAAACATATCTGCGAAAAATTTCATATCTATTATGATCTAATGTCTAAAGTTTTTCAGTAAATTATTTTTCGGCGCGACATCTACATATTTCGCAATATTTTGCAAAAATATTGCGACTCGAATATTTTGAAAAATTTTACCCAAAATGGTGCTCAATCTCTCACCTTGTCTCCTTTCCTTGCTAATTCCTCGAGCAGGGGAAGATACGTAATTACATGGCTTTTACTCCCGAAAAACTCCACGGCCAAAATATTCCGGCCTTCAACACTCCCAAGTTCAAATCCCCATCCCAAAATTATGAGAAATAATGCCACCCCCGTTTTGAAAGGGGCCCCATTTCGAAAATTATTCATCTTCACTTTGATCACTTTTATGTAAAAATGCAAAAATTAAAAAAAACACAATTAAGAAACTCAGACGAACTGAATTTTCATGAAAGGCTATCACTGATCACTTAAAAATGTAAAATTTTAAAACCAAAAAGGTAATAATTTATTAAAGAACTATGTACAAAAAACCTCAGATGAGACCAAATTGCCTGGAACGCTATGGAAAGACTGTAGCAAACAATGAATCTGTCTGCCATTTAAATATGATCTTGTTCGACTTTGAGGGCCATGCATAAAGTTGGTGATAAATTTTCCGAGAAATTTTTAATCCATCATTTAATACACTCTTAGAAAACTAGTATTAAATCATTACTGATCAGAATACGAATATTACCTGCGCGGTAATAATGACGGGCATTCCCGTTAAGTAATGCTATGATTTATGACAAATGACAAATTTACCAGTCAGAAAAAAACTACTACCAATCCGGTAGGAAATTAATATCAAATCAATACCAGTATGAATTCAATATGTGATTCTATCAGATTTTTTACAGTGTGTAATTTTTAAAATGTGAAGGATCCGAATATTTTTCTCCCCTCAAATTTATGGCGCACGTCCCGCACGGTCCCACGTGTCCAGTCCAGTCCAGCAACTGATAAAAAATAGTAGCCTTGGAGTAAGTATATACAATTGCATGGTCATGATCATTATTGAATTGATGGCACGTCGCTGCTGGGTTGCACCGGCACATGATGCTGGTGAAATAAGTGGCACAGCATCAGCACGTAGTAAAAAATTTCAAGTGGAGTTTCATTTCTCTCACGCGATTATTTGGGTCTGTAGCCGTTATGGGATCACTGGGTAGATTTTAAGATCTACCCAATGACTTATATATTAAATTTAAAAATTAATAACAATTTTTTTTAGAAAACTGGAGAATGTTAACTTTGTGAAAGTGGATACAATTTTAGCACTTAAATTTGAAAACATAGATATGTGAAATGGAATTTCGGGGCAATTCACGCAGTCCTTGTTAACTTTGTCAAATCTTGAAAAAATAGTTTTACAAACTTTTGCAAAGTAAAAAAAAGACCCGCTTGATCTGAGCAAGTTTTGCAAAAATTTGTAAGCTAATTTTCATTTTAAATAAATTTTTTAAACTTTATAAGTTTATAGATTATACGGATTTTACAAAGTTACTAAGGACTTGCTTCACTTGGAAATTAGTAAAAAAAAATTTAGCATGTAATTTAGAAAATGTGGAACGCTAATGATTAAATATGTACAATTTTTGCAATTAAATTAAAAATATATTTTTATTGAAGAAGTAATATGCCGAAAGAAACTTTTTGTAAGATCAAAACTGCTTAAAATATTTTTAGATTATTTTCAAGTAGTCCTTTAAGAGCTTATTTTTCTAGAAGTTCAGTTTTTAGGTACAGACGGCTATAAACGAATCCTATCTAATAATACTCACAATAACAATAACTAGCATATTTAAATTTCATGATTATGCATAATAAATATAAAAAAAACATGCAGCCGGGTGCCGTTTACAAGCAACTATCTTATTATGTTGCAAGTGTTTCATGTTTTTTGGGGATAATATGAAATATTGAAGCACTCCACGCAGTCATTGGTAGCTTTGTAACTTTTTCAAAATAATTTTACAAACTTTTACAAAAGAAAAGACGTCCTAGATCTGAGCAAGTTTACGAAAAATTTGAAAGCCTTTTTTTCTCAGAAATATTTGTAAAATTTTGTAAAAGTTAATAAATTTGTTTCATTCATTAGAAATACAAGCACATATTTGTAAAATTTTCTTAGTTATGTGAATTTGCGGGTTTTAAAAATTTCCTGATACCTGTCAAGGACTGCGTGAAATTTAGTTTCTTGAATCTGCCTGGTTTTTGCACGTGTCACATCATCAGTTTGAAATTGCATCATTTAAACACCGTACTAATAAGTTTTCGCAAGTCTTTTTCTAAAAATCGGTTGCCAGATTTGATTTTGGGATGGATGAAACGATAAATGTTAATTTAAGAAATAATAAGTAAATAAATATTGAGGGTATTCACGCACCCTTGGTAACTACGTAAACAGCGTAAAATCCGTAAACTTACAAACGTTTACAAACAGCTTCCCGTGAATTCACTTTCGCAATTATTTTCGTAAAAATTTATCTGATAATTGGAACAAAATTCCGATCATTTCCAGAAAAATTAATGGAAGATTTGTAGAGCTGCATTTATTGATATACTATATACCACGAACAGTGGAGGCTGTTCCTATAAAAATTTCCAAATTCAACCTTCCTAAATTCTAATCCTAAGTTATTTTTCGACTCCACACTAAATCTTAGCTAAATATATAAATTCAGAAATCGGTATGGGTACCCCTTCCTCATTGCCCGTCTGGTTATTTTTTGTTCATCTTTGACTTCATATTCTTTCATGAGAAGCTATGAAGTATCACCATTCCGAATTTCAGCTTTTTGAGACAAGTTATGAAAATCGGTATGGGTCACCCCAACGGGTCCCGGATGTGAAAATTTTACCAATTTCACTTCATATTCTTCCATTAGGGGCCTTTAGCAGCCTCTATACGAAATTTCAGCTCGATTGGATGATTTTGAAAAATCGGTATGGGTCACCCCGTCGGGTACCTCGGCTTGAAAAATTTGTCAATTTCAGTTCATATTCTTTCATTAGGAGCCATTAGCAACCTCTATGCCAAATTTCTGTATCGAACAATTTTTTTTCTTCCCCAAATTGAGTTTACAAAATACTTTACAAAATTAAAAGACGCCCCTGAGCTGCGTAAGTTTACAAAAGTTTGTAAACTGATTTTCCTTGGCAATTTTTGTAAAAGTTTGTAAACGTTTGTAAGTTTACCGATTTTACGCTGTTTACGTAGTTACGAAGGAGGGCGTGAATTGCCTCATTATGAACTTAATAAAATTCGAGCGTTAGAAATCCCGTGTAGTCATGCACGCATTGATTTCTCGGTATTAAAGTTGTTACCGTTTGGTATTAAAATTATACCGGTCCGTAAAAAATTGCTACCGATATGGCAAAACTTTAATACCGAGATATAACTTATTACACGGTATTAGTTATCAATACCACTTCGGTGTCATGTCTTTAGAGTCATGTATGAATACCGCTTGGTATTATTTTAATACTGGATTTCTAAGAGTGCAGTAAAATTCGATTAACTTTGTAAAGTAAACTTTTAGGAATTGAATTTGAAAATATATTCGAATTGATTTAGTTAAAGGTCGAAAGATAATTTTTATAAAATCCAAATGCGTCCAATATTTAGAGATTTTTCGCAAGCGGCATGTCATTTTTCCTGGCTCAAGAATAATGCGAAATATTTACGGTGATCTTATTTTTGAAGTATTTAACAAATTTTAAACCTTCCCACAAATCATATCAATATTTAACAAATTAATTTAAATTTCCAGGTTTGGGAAATAAATTTTTCCATATTTCGGTATATGCTCTCTTTCTTATGGAAAGATTTGCGATTTTTGGTCCTCAATTTACGAAGTATGGAAAACTGCACATATTTTTATTTCGAATTAGAATGCTTATGTAATATTTGGATTAAGAATTATTTTAGATTATGAAGTGTAGTGAAGTTAAATTTGCATGCAGGTTTGTCATCAAATTTGAAATTGCATCGTTTAAACGCCAGAGTAATAAGTTTTCAGAATTGATAATTAAATTTCCAGTTCTAAGATACCTCCTTTGGGATTGTGTTTCCTATAAAGATTAAATTTGTAACTAAAGTAAACACATAACGCCACATAACGCCACATAACGCTGCTTATCAGTGGCAAAAGTTTGTCACTGATAAGCAGCGCCAAATTTTTGTTTCGTGGAAATTCATCCCGAATGAAGTTATTAAAAGGTGAAGCGAAGCGAAATCCCTTTATGAAAATGTCTTGTCCGTTCGTCTGTCTGTATCCATGATAACTTTAGAACACATTCCAAATTTCGACATGCAGTTTTCGCCAACCTGTTTCTAATGTTTTAAGTACGCATGAGTTCGAAGATGGGCGTCGTAGGTCATAAGGTAACGGCGCCACGGTGATGACGCCAATTGTCGAATTTTTAGTTTCCACCGTATTATGTAAACCTACCAACTACCTTGGTAGTTTTGGACGGGGATTTCAAAAATCGATATAGTTTTGTCATGGTACGTTCAATTGTTTAAAGCCTTTAAACGAGTAGAAATATTTGTTCATTTAATTCTTTTCTTTTGATTAGTCAAAAACGATCAAGTGTAACGACGATAAATTAATTAATTCGGAAATATATTACACATTTAACAATTAGATTATGTCTGTGTTATTGAACAATTTTCTTCTGATAAGCACACATAAAAATTCAATTTAAAAAAAAACTTCGAGTATATCGTTTTGAATTATTTGAAACCAATAAATAGTTTTGGATTGCGAAATTTGAATCGAAATTTGAACATTGATTTAAAATTGGTTCACAGAATGGGGTTAATTCTTAGATTTAATTTTAACTTTACTTTTGTTACAGACCTTTAGGGTCTGGGTAATAAGGTTCATTTTGTAACACTGGTTTGTCTATTTAGTCAATTCATTTATTCAATTCTTTCACCAAATAGACTACTTTTAATCTAAACCTATCTAAAGCTAGTTTACAAGCTAAGCCTTAATTATCCGACTCAGTCGTCGCTGTTCTCTCCTCCTGATCTCCCGTACAATCTCTCTTTCCAACTGCCCGTGTTGCTCTTTTTATCCGGATGGAAGTTGGCTAATAATATTATTTGCACACGACACCTCAGTGGTGTGTGTGGAGTTCTCAATTACGTCATTATTATGATGCGTAATTTCGGGTATTGTGACATTCCGCCTCCTTGGAGAACATTGACCCAATGTAAGCGGGTTCAAGAATGGTTGTATCTTATTTGGCAGTTAATCTTATTTCTTAACAACTAGTAAATTCGTAACCTAAAACTTATATCTATTAACCTTAATTAATTAAATATTACTTATATTTCTATCCTAATTATTTCGTTTTCGTTTTTCGTTCGTAATTTCGGTTTTCGTTCATAATAACTTTATAATTAATTTCAAAAAATGGACTTACTTATTATGTGTTAAAAGTAATTTACAATTTTGATTTTTGATTAGATTTGTTTGTAAAGTTGATTTCTACATTTTGAGTTTTTAGTTCTCACTAATTTTATTATTGAAGTTATTTAAATAATTAAATAATTAAATAATTAATAATAACTATTATATTTTAATAAATTTATTTTATTATTTAATAATAATTTCTTAATATTAGATCTTACTAAATTTAATTTGAATAATTTTATGATTTATGTTGTATTTTTATTTTTATTATATCGAATTGGGTGTATTATTTCTAAATCTCTATGTATTTATATATTATATAAATTATTATATTATTCTAGCTGAAGTTTGAGTCCCATTTTGGCCTGATTTTGCTGTTTTCACATGTAGAGGGAGGTCGTGACGTGAAGGGTTCATGCGCTGACTTGTGACGTCGTGTATTATGTGTGACGACGTGTGACGCTCCGCCCGCTTGAAGCAGCAAATCGGCCCGAAGATGAGACCCAAGAGCTCCAGATCCCACAGTTGGTTCAGCACATAAAGACAAAATTTTAGATTAGAGACAGTCATAACTCATTTACACCTTATATTTAGAGTTGCGTGTAGAGTGGACAAATTAAAAACGATCCGAGTTGACAACATAATTAAAAGATTCAGAAATATTTAAAACGATCCAAGGGACTTTTAACGAACAGTGATGTATCCGGCGAAGATATCCTTTGGATCTAATGATGGAGGCGTTTCCGGGGTGGAGATATGAAAAGTTTGAAACGCGCCTTCTATTCCTCGTGGATAAGATAATGATTGGGTTGACTTTCGTTGTTTACAGTATAATCCACAACACAGAAAAATAAGAAACAGAATCAAGGAAATCAAGATTATAATGGTGATTACAAAGAGCACCACATTATGTTGTATAATGGACAAGTTTTCAGCTTTTGCACCGGGAATAAACATGGCAAAAGCAAATAGTTGTTGTGGTAATTTCCAGGTTTTGTAATAAAGAAAAATAGCGAAGAGGGATAAAAATCCCATCCAAACGGTAATAATGGCAGGATTGAATAAGTGGTGATAGTCCAAAACATATTGTTGAAACGAGTTAAAATCTCGGACCTCTGGTTGAGTAAGATTAAGAACAATGTCCTTTTCAAACCATTTTTCATTATAAATATCTGATAAATTTGAATATCCCTCAGTGAGGTATAATTTCTGATTATAATTATTAGCTTTGGTGAGTTCCGCGACATTTATCTTGCTCCAGCCACTGGGGATAATTAGATTTAGTAGAGGGGTTTTGAAAGTGTGCATATCTGTTTGTCCACTAAGACAAGGAAAAGGTGGTACGACCGTTGGATGCTTGTCATTTAAATTTATGTAACAATTACAAGGGATTTCCACTATAATTACACCGTAGGGTGAGGTAGTATTGGGTTGAAGTAGTTCAAAATTCCGTAGGGTGGAGTTATTGTTGCAAATAATTTCTGCATTTAGAGGAGGTTGCGTAATGGCATAGCGATACAACGAATTGTGCCAACCTAATTTGGTAACCAGAACTTCAGCTGAGTTTGTTAATCTACAACTAAATGGGCAAGCTTGATGTAGCACATCAAAACGAGTACCCTGCGGAGCCAACAAGGCCTTGACGCACCCAGCATGACTTGTAGCTCGTGTTGCTAAGGAAAAGTACTGACAAATACCATCAGCAATTCTACAGTGGCTGGTGTCGGCCATACTGATGGGAAAAGGCATATCATTCTTAAGTATTACGAAGTCATGACTATGCTGCACAAAACATATTTGGGGTTCTCCCAAATCTGTTTTATGAAAAAAGGGAATACTAAAAATTTCGGTAATTTCCATCTGCTCATGTAATGGCTTAATAGGTATATTTAACTGAATCTCTATAATTCCTTGTTCTGGCTTAAACGAGCATCGTGTGAGTTCATAATGGTAATATGAGGATAGTCTTCCTTGAGGGATGACTAGCGTCATATTATTTTTGTTTAATGTGGTTCTTAACGTTAATAGTTCCTGATTAAGGGTAACATAGTCTACGGCTTGTAGCGACAAACGACCAGTCATGCAGGCCGATTGGATACTCGCATACTGAAACAATTCTAAAGATCGATAAATATCTTCTGACATATGAGCCTGGAAAAGAAAACTTTTTTGCATGTCCTCTATCTTTTTATTATTTTGTTTGATTCGGGTTCCCAAATATGACGAAATATTTAAGAACCCCAAACCTATCATGTGATTTTGATTGGTTATAGTATTAGCGAGCCGAATAGCATTTCGAGAATTTATGTCGATGCTATTCTGCAAGTGATCATATTGTTTTGAAAAGTCGGTGGCAGCAGACGGAGGGTCAACATAATTATACAGTTGGGCACCTACCCATCCTACCGCCAAAGCTGCCAGAGCAGCCTGACGCTTGGTTCGAGTATTGTTAGTATTATGGAAATTCTCCCACATTATACTTCTTCCCTGACGTGAGAAACCCTCAGAATTTCGATTTCGAAATCTGGCAACCTCCTGGTCAAAGGGACTTAAAGTTGCTGGTGGTGGTAAAGCCGTGGTAGGAGGAGGAATATGGATTTGCATTTGATTGAGTGGGGGTCTAGTTTGCATGAGAGTTCGGCGAACCAACTCATCGTGCTCTATTTGAAAACGAGTACGGGGGTCAGAAGGATCTCCCTGAATCAAAGGTTTTGGGGTAGTAGTGGGTTTAGTCGTGATTAATTCTTTCTTAGTTTCCTGACTTAAATCTAAATCGTCAGTTAAAACCGGGTTAATTTGAATGGGATGATACTCAGGGTAACGTTTATTTTTGGAAATTACCGTTGAAATTGTTTCCATGTGCGGAATAATTGGTTTGAGAGACGTTAAGGATTGGTACATTAAATTTAGGCGGTTAGTGACTGCTTTAAAATTTCCAGTTAAGTAAGGCCCCATCATGCAAATAGGGCTCAGCGAGCCCCGACCGAAATCCGGAGGACAGTGGTCTCTTAAATCTTGGATAAAGTAATTCTGTTGCGAAGTAAAATTGAATTGTACCTTAAAGAAAATTGAAGTTGTATCTTCACAGGTGATTACAGTATCCGGAACCGGTTTGGTGAAGACCCCGGAAAGGACATGGACCCTGGCGGGAAGTTCCTCCCCATGAGCTCCAACCAATATTATGAGGAAAATGTAGAATAATGTCATAACTAAAAGAAAAGAGCGATTAATTGTGGGTTAAATTTTTATAAAGATGAAGAAAATTAAGATCCTCCAGCATTTTGAAACCGTTTAGGGAGTTTAATAGCTCGACCTGAACGAGTTATTAGTAGCAGTCACTTGATCATTAGTTTGTAAAATTACTTCTTTCAATTTAGAAGAGTTCGGAATTGATTCTTGTAAAAATTGATTGTGAAATTGTGCTGGATCGTAAGTAGATAAATATTCGTATCGCGCTGAGATTGATCGTAATCTTTTAAGATGGACAATCTCTGTAGCGAAGGGGGGTTCAAGCTGTGCTATTCTATAGTTTTAATCAGTTTTCTTTTCTAAAATACGATACGGACCTCTAAATTGGGGTGATAATTTTTTCGATTGATCCTTATGTAAATTAGGATAGAACAACATAACAAAATCTCCTGGATTGAAAGTTTGAATCTTATGACGTTTTTCGAAGGATGCTCGTGAGGATTCTTGAGCCAATAATAATTGATTACGCACTGCTTCTCGTGCTCTATTAAGATCATCTAAATAAGTATCTGGGAAATTCGGAAGTGAAAGTCCTAATTCGCCAGGCAATCGGGGATGTCTTCCCATTAATAAAAAATAAGGGGATAATTTGGTGGATTCGTTAATTGCTGTATTTATGGCAAATATAACACTGGGTAAATAATAACCCCATTCTTGGTTAGTTGTTGACACGTAACATGCTAGAATATTCTCAACAGATCTTATACTACGTTCCGCAACAGCATTACCTGTGCTACTATATGATGAGGTGAATTGCGGTATAATGTCTAATTTTTCAAAAAGTAATCGCGACAAATTTGACCGATGTGTCGCATGGTTGTCCCAAACGATTGTTTCTAGGCATCCATGAACAAAAATTATTGAATTAAGAAGAAATTTTGCAACAGAAATAGCATTATAAGATTTAGCACTCCCCGCGACTACAAAACGAGTAAGACTGTCAATAGCTATAAAACAGAATTGATGCTGATAAGGTTTTGAAGGTTTCAAGGGTCCGCAGACATCAAAGAAAACTCGCTGAAAAGGGCTACTGACAATCTCATGACTGTTCATGATAGCCAGGGGCAGCGTATTCCTACTTTTTATTTGTTTACACGTAATACAGGATGAAATGTAATTATCAACATCTTTTGCGAGTGTTGGCCAATAAAATAATTTTTTGATTCTTTCATGGGTTTTAGTCCTACCTAAATGGCCGGCACATCGATGGTCTTGAAAAGCATAAAGAATTCTAGAAATTTGTGCCGCAGGTATAGCTAACTTCCATGCAGCCTGGGTATGTTTTTGATGATAAATTAAATTGTTAAAAACTAAATAATTTTGAACAGGTATGTTTTGTTCACATTGTTCCTTAATTTTGGATAGAACGGGATCAATTTCCTGAGCTTGTTCAATTTCCTTCCTATAATCTGATGGAGACAAATAATTAACTGAAATTTCCTGTTCTGCAGGTAAAGTTTGTTTTAAAGATTTGTCTTTTTCATACGAAATTAGGCGACTTAGACAGTCCGCTGGATAATGTGTTTTGCCAGAACTATAAGTTATGATAAGCTGATGTGCAGATAAAGTATACAACCAGCGGTTTAAACGCCGATTTTTGGAACATTTCATTTTTAACAGGCTGCATACTGCGTGATTGTCTGAAACCACAGTAAACTGTTTTGCATATAGATAGGGTCTTAATTTATTGATTGACCACACAACTGCCAGACATTCCTTTTCTGCGCAAGTATAATTGAGTTCGTGCGGACCTAACAATCTTGAAATAAAACAAATTACTACCAAATCGTTTACCTCATTTTTCTGATGAAGAACCCCCGAGATGGCGTAATCACTACTGTCAGTATGTAAAATACAGGGTCTAGAATGACGAAACCCTACTAAAATAGGTGGTTTGGTTAATGCATTTCTCAAATCTTCAAAAGCCGCCTGTGCAGTATTATTCCAATTTAAGAGTTGTCCTTTCTTTGTTAATTTATAAAGCGGTTGTGCTCGAGCGCTAAAATTATCTAAAAATCGTCGGTAAAATGAGACACACCCTATAAATGCTCGAAGTTTTGTAAGATTAACCTTGCCATTTGGATCAAGAGGTGGGGGCATGTTAACTATGGCTTCAATTTTATTGGGATTTGGTGCCACCTTCCCATCTCTTGATAGTATATAACCTAGGACCCTGGCTTGACCTGTCGCAAAAAGACATTTTGACGGGGAAAGAGTCATGTTGACGGCTCTTAATTTTTCAAAAAATTGTCGCAGATGGATCAAATGTTGAGGCCATGAACAGCTGAAAACGATTAAGTCATCAAGATACACGAACAGCGATTTAAAAATCTGTTGATGAAAAATTTTCCGCATAATATTTTGAAAAATAAATGGACTAGTGGTCAACCCCTGAGGTAACACAAGCCATTCATAGGTTCCATCTGGTGTCGACATTCCTGTGATATGTTGATCGCGACTATCTATAGGAACCTGCCAATATCCATTTGAGAGGTCAGTAGTACTTAAATATTTAAAATCAGAGAGCATTGTGAAGATATCTTCAATTTCGGGAAGGACTTGATGACAATCATGTAACGCTGTGGAATTAATTTTACGCATATCAATGACTAGTCTTAAGCTACCGTTTGGTTTTTTAACTAATAACGTTGGAGAAGTTGAAGAGCAAGGACCATTCTTAATTAGGCCAGCCTTTTCAAGCATAAGCATATGTTTCTGAAGAAATTCGCGTTCAAACATTGACATCTTATAATGTTTTTGAAAAATAGGGCTATGATCTTTAACAAACAAACGAACCCCATCGGAGTCTTTTTCAAACGGTCCGTTGTAACGCCCCAAGTCGGACAGATTCACACTGTCCCAGCAAAAAATATCAGCGTATTCCGAGATTAAGTTTTTAAGTTCTTCGATTTGTGCTGGATCAAGATCTGAGGCTAATTTAATTTGATCAAGTTGTGTTTGAGTCATATGACTTGGTCTATTATTGTGTTTTAAAGGTGAGTGTGACTGATTTGGTTCAAAGTAGAATATTTCTTGAGCTGGAGAAAGATAACCAACTCGTGTGTTTTTATTAAGAGTTACTGGAGGACCCAAAGATGTCAAAATTATATTTGTTAGTTCTTCTGGTTTAACTACAAATCCGGGGCCGTAAACACTGTGTGTGTTTAAGAAGTTTGGATCCCATTCAAAAACAAAATTTGAAGAAGGTTGAAATATTTGTTGTAAGTCTACAGTCACTGGAAGAGATGCATATCCAGGAGAGTTTAAAATGATTGTTTCTGTGAGAACAACTGGAATTTCAGGGATTTCCATTTCCTCATTGTCTGTTAAATTTATATGATTTAATTGTTGTGATTTTATCACTAGCTAGTTCGTTTTCAGATAAGTAGAGACGAAAACTTTGTGTGCCTATCTTGACTTCCTTTTGAGCGAAGTTTATTAAACATTTCTGAATATGTAGTAGATCATTCCCTAGAATTAAGGATCTGGTCAAATTTGGGGCCAGAAAAACCTTATGAGTAATAATCTTATTTGATAATTGAATTTTGATTCGGATAAATTGATTTATGGTGTTAGCTCCTGTTTCTCCTATTATTTTAAAAGAGTTGCAGGGCATGATTTTAAATTTCGTTGCCATTTCAGGTGAACAAACTGAAATGGAGCTCCCAGTGTCGATTAATGTAGAAATTTCTAAGTCAGGTGAATTTTTTATTTTAATTTTTAACTTAATAAAGGCTAGGAAGGGATCTATAGTAGCTAAATTATAATAACCGAGGTGTTCAGTTAAAGGACCCATGGTATCCTCGTTTACCATGGGTAGACCTAGTTTTCCTGGGGCTTGCCACTTTGAGTGCCCATCAGATTCTTTGCCCTTGCCATTAATCGTTTTCGTTGAGGACAATCTAATTTATCGTGACCATTTTCGCCACAGCGCCAGCATATTGGCCTGCCTTGTTCATCGCGATATTGCCTGATGAATTTAAACAGTGACTGATCACCATCAGGGTTAGTGGTTATGACATTTGGGTTAGGGATTGAATATGGTTTATCTCCCCGTCGAGTGAAATACCTACCAGTTCCTTCTCCTCCCGTCGAAGGTTCATGAGAAGCTGAGTATGCATTGATAGCCAGTTGTGGGTTGTATGAATTTGGGGTATTTTGGTAACCATTTGGGTTTGGTGATGTGTTTTGACCATTTCGGTTTGGTGTATAACCACTCCGGTTAGGTGAATTGAAGTAACCAGTAGGGTTTGGTGAATCAAAACCGCTACGGTTGGGTGCATTGAAATAACCGCTTCGGTTGGGTGTCATGAACGAACCATTTCGGTTTGGTGAAAAGTCAGTAGGGAAATAATTTTGGATTGCGAAATTTGAATCGAAATTTTAACATTGAAATTTTATCATCATTTTTTTTAATCGAGCAAATTTTTAGTTTGACGAAGCATGTTAAACTCACTAAAATCTTGTAATTATCAATTGGTCTCAAATAATTTAAAGTTTATCATCATACTTTTGATCACAATGTTATTTTAAAATCATAATTTCCGATTAGACTTAAAAATATGAAGTCCAAAAAATACAAAGTCCGACCTATTTACTACAACACACCATAAACTTATGCATTAATTTCTTTATCGGCGTAAAATTTAGCCAGTGAACTCGATTATTTTGTAAATTCTTGAAAATGTACACAATTATTTGAAAAATTTTCCAAGGAAAAGTATTTAGATTGTAATTTTATTTACAACACGGATTAAGGCAGCTTTAGATATTTGCACAAATATGATATCTATTTTTACACAAGTTACGCAGTTCACTTGTAAGGTTACCCGAATTATCGTGTCATTTAGATTTGCATACTTACTTGTTGTAAATATTGTAATTTTATTTTATATCACGGATTTCATAGCATCGATTTCACAACCATAAATTACAACCGGAGACAACGAAATCTTCAAAGGTAATGCAGCAGAGTATTTCAGATAATATATAATTTGGCGTCAAAGTCTTTCAGTAAAGTTTAAAAAGTTCACTTCATTATTTGTAATCTGCTCAAATACGGAAAGAGAAACACGGACAAAGATTACGAAGAGAAATCTCACAGCTTAGGAAAATTACAAAATAAATAGAAATAATAAAAAACACTTACAAAATTGTATTCTGCAAGTAAAATATAAGTTAGAAATTGGATTTTCGCAAGCGGATAATGCGACGAAATTTGGTCGAATTTATGTCACCACTAAATTCATTAGTGTCCAACAATTAAATAAAATTAGAGCTTTGGTAAATACAAGTTTTAATAATTATGTTATTATAGAATCAGAATTTTATCTGCCTCCAGCACATTACCTGTTTTTACCTTGCAAAACAAACTTCTACATTAATTTCTTTATCGGGGTAGAATTTAGCCAGTTAACTTATCGCTAATATTTTGTAAATTTTTGAAAGTGAAATTCTTTCAAAATTTAATTCCCTAAAAGTATTTAGAATCGAAGTACGAAATATAATTTTAAATAAATCTACAATCTAAACTTACAATCTTAAATGTAGATTGTGGGTTTACTTTCTATTGTATGTAGCCAGTATTTTTGGCATAGGTAGCTTTATATTGGGATGTAATTAACGACCCCCCTAATGTTTAGGTTTTTGCCCCCTAAATTGCGGAAATGAACCCCCATTGATTTTTGCCCCCCTAAATATCAAACGAATCCCCCTAATAAAATGACCGGATAAATACTGAGAATCAAGTGCAATTAGATATATTTATATCGGACTTGTCAAGAATACTCAAAATAATTTAAATATTAATCAATGAAAAAGCTTTGGAGCAATTTGGTGGGCCCCTGCTTTCCTTTTTTCTCTGAGGATGTACATGTTTCCTGAATTGAGACATGGTACTGTTCATCAGTTATCATCCACAATGACTGAGGTGTTATTCAATAATATCATACACCATTTGAGTTGAATGTTGAATTTATTGCTAAAAACCCAATAAAACCTTTGGGTTGTTATTTTTATTTAAAACCCTAGATCACACCTGTGAAGATCACAGTGGTCACAAAAGGTCACGTAATGGTTAAATTACATAGAGGTGAATCAATCGGGACTTTCATTTTAACCTCAAAAGTCGCACAAGGAAACCAAATGTAACATAAAGGGGTCAATCAAAGGGAAATTTAACCCAGTAACCCCTAATTCAACGGTCACCACCATTTTGACCTCAAAGGTCATTTAGACGTATCACACACTTTTTATTCCTTGGTTGCACGCGTTGTAACCATTTGATCAATATGTCGGTCGTACATCACAACTGACAACTGATGAACATTACTACATATGTTTCAATCAAAACAGGAAGGTACTCCGAGAAAGAAGGAAAGCAGGGAGCCCACCAAATAAGTGCTCCAAATCATTTCCATTGATTAATATTTAAATTATTTTGATCATCCTTGATAAATCCGATTTAAATATATGTAATTACACTTGATTTTCAGTATTTATCCGGTCATTTTATTAGGGGGATTCGTTTGATATTTATGGGGTAAAAAATTAATTATGTGGTGGCAAAAATCAATGAGGGTTAATTTCCAGAAATTAGGGGGCAAAATTCATAATGTTAGGGGGGTCGTTAATTTAATCCCCTTTATATTTGCACAAATTTGTAATTTATTTTTACACAAGCTAAGCAATTTATAAGGTCAAAGGTTACCCGAACGAATTGTCGTATCATTTATATTTGCATTCTATACGATACTCGAAATGGGAATTAATTATGGAAACATTAGCACTGACTAACCACATTTTAAAAAAATCTAAAATTTCACCCAAAATACTGCTTAACCTCACCTTGTCTCGATAAGCACAAATAAAAATTCAAATTTTAAAAGAACGACATATATAATCTTTTTGAATTATTTTTGAAAGTAGTGAATAATTTTTAGATGGCAAAATTTGAAAATTGATTTTAAAATTAGTTCTCTGAGTCAATTAACTTTTATATTTTATTATGGATTTCTCTCAACTTTTCATCATCAAGGTTTATTTGCATTAATTGATTTTTAGAAAATTTGTAATTAATCTTTAACACATACACGAGAAAAGATTCATATCTATTATGATCTAATTTCTAACGTTTTTCAATAAATTATTTTTCGGCGTGAAATCTATTTCACGATATTTTGCAAAAAATATTGCGACTCGAATATTTTGCAAAATTTCACCCAAAATAGTGCTTAACCTCTCACCTTGTCTCCTTTCCTCGCCAATTCCTCGAGCAAGGGAAGATACGTAATTACATGGCTTTTACTCCAGAAAAACTCCACGGCCAAAATATTCCGACCTTTAACACTCCCAAGTTCAAATCCCCACCCCAAAATTATGAGAACTAATACCACCCCCGTTTTGAAGGGTGTCCCATTTCGAAAATTATTCATTCTCAATTTTATACGAAAAAAATTAAAATTAAGAAAAAAAAGAATCAGACGAGCTTAATTTCCACTAAACGCCTTCACTGATCACTTTAAAAAATGTGAAATTTGAAAACCCAAAAAGTGAAAATTTAGAAAAAAACAACAATTTAATAACTCAGATTATACCACTTTTCACAAAACGCTATGGAAAGACTGTAGCAAACAATGAATTTGTCTCCCCATTTAAATATGTACGCTCTTGTTCGACTATGAGAGCCATGCATAAAGTTGGTGATAAATTTTCCCACAAATTTTTGATCCACTATGTCGTATAATTTGTAGGATGTGAAGCATCCGAATCTTTTTCTCTCCTCAAATTTACGACGTCCCGCACGGTCCCATGTGTCCAGTCTGGTCCAGCAATTGATAAAAAATAGTAGCCTTGGAGTAGGTAAATAAAATTGCACGCATGGTTATCATCATTATTTGATGATACGCTGTTGCATCGGCACATGATGCTGCTGCTTAAAAAAGTGGCACAGCAGCAGCACGTAGTAAAAAATTTCAAGTGGAATCTCATTTCTCACGCGATTATTTGGGTCTGTACTCGCTGTGGGATCACTGGGTAGATTTTAAGATCTACCTAATGACTTTCGTATTTATTTTGGAAATTTAGAACAAATTTTTCAACTTGGAATTTAGAAAAGCAATGGAATTTTAAGAATTTAATTTTCTGAAAGTAGATACAAGTTTTTAGCAGTCAAATTCAAGAATATATTTGAAATTGAAATGAAATAGTGAGCCAATTCAAGCGATGATCATTGATAACTTACAAAATTCGTAAGCTTGGTAAGGGAGTGTCCATAAATCACGTGATCGATCATAGGGGGGGGAGGGGTCTGAAATTTGTCACCAATTATCACCAAGGGGGGGGGGGGGGGTAATGGTCGGCAGTCACGTGACATGCCACGAAAAGTTTTTCTTTTAATTTCTGAGGTCAGTAAATGTGAAGAGAGTAACAATAAAGTCTCTTCGCATACTATCACGCGCCTTAAATAAATTTAATAATATGTATTTACTTAATAGTGAACCTCTTTTATCTAAAATTCTTTATGCGGCGTATTTTTAAATTTTTACTTGACAATCTTGGGTCTGGTTTGCATATATGTACCACTCTTCCAAATTTTAGTAAACATTAATAGAACTCTCATTATTCTTTCAGAAATAAAGTTTATGCAGTTGTGCTTAAGATGTCATGAATGTTAAATTACTTTGTATACTTACTCATTAGTATTAAATAATTCTTTCGATAGTTTTAAAATTTAATTTAACTGGATTAAAAAAAAACACAGGAATATTATTATTGGATTAATTTGTGCTATGGGTTGTCATGTCGGAAATAGGTCAGTTTGGCGAAAAAACTTTTTGCGAAAAAAATCCGCCACAAAAAATCACACTTGGCGAAAAATAGGTTTCATGCGTTTTACAGTAAGTTAGGTTTAATGTGTAACCTGTCACGTGACCACGGGGGGGGGGGGTAATGGATTTATCACCATTGGTCACCAAGGGGGGGAGGGGGTCAAAATTGTCCAAAAATCGATCACGTGATTTATGGACGCTCCCTAAAATAATTTTAGAAACTTTTACAAAATACCCTTGGTCTGAGCAAGTTTGCAAAAATTTTGGAGCTAATTCGTAAAATTTCGCAAGTTTACTTACACGGACTTTACAATACTATTGCATAACATCCCAGGCGTTTGAAAAATTATCTTTTATTCTTTAAATGCTATGGGTTTTGTAAAATTTTATATTTTGGCACTTAAGTATTTCAAGTATATATAGGTGAAGGTTTATTTTTTACTGTAAATATCTTTAGTAATGTTTCCCTAATTAGTTTTGTTGACAAATCGTTACTAATTTGGTAACGATCAAACTGTTTTAAATAGTTTGATATCATTACTAATAATTTTATTTCCAATTTAGTTTAGCCGTATTTATTGAATTTAAATTTATAATTCAAACACGGATTAAAGAAAAAGATGGTGCGATTTTGATACCATTATTGCGATCAAGTTTCAGGTTTTGCGAAATAAATTTTCCATATTTTTCTGAACTCTTACTTTTTCTGGAAGAGCGTGCGGTTTTTGCTTGTAAACTTATCCAGGAAATCTACACATGCACATGTTGAAAAAATATCATTGTAACGCCAAATTGAAAATTTTGCTACTTTCGCGGAGCAAAAAGTAACTAGATTTTTCAGCTACCAATTTGATCGTCAATTTATTTTGGCTGTATTTATTGAACTGCTTGAAATATATGTTCATATATTCCAATTGAAGTAGTGATATGTCGAAATATGCATTTTTATAAAATCCAAATGTGTTAAATATTTAGAGATGTTGTTTCACGATCTCGTCATTTTTCGTGTGTCGGGGATAATCTGAAATATTCATAAATAAACCTCTTCAAGAAAACCTTTTTTCATTCAAAAGTTCAGTCATCCCGATTTCTGACTGAAGATTTTAATTCACACTCTTCAGTCACTTTGTTACAAACTCATTTCATCACACTTCATTTGACTTCATTTCTTACTTCGCCCCATGCATTAAACACAGGGTGAAAATGAAAGGAGTGAGAAATCCTTTCATTCACAATCACTCATCTGAAGTGACTGAATCTCACTCATTTTCATTCAAAGCATATGCAATTAATTTGCATTCACTATCATTCTCTATCATAATCAGTCACATGAATGAAAGTGAACAGGTATGGAAATATTTACGTGATCGCATTTTCCTTTCGGGTGCTTCATAAATTTTAGACATTCCGGAAGGTTTAAAATTGGTATAATTTGAAGCTGCCCACAATATTGAACACATTAATTTAAATTTTCAGGTTTTGAAAATGAATTGCCCATATTTTGCTTAAATATATTTTTATTTCGAATTATAATGCCTAATTGCCTAATATTTGGATTAAGAATTTTTTTGCAAATTATGAAATGTAGTGAAATTAAATTTCCTGAATCTGACTGGCTTTGTATTAAAAAAATTGAACTTGCATCGTTTAAACACTAGACGAATAAGTTGTCAAAAATGATAACGAAAATAGCAGTTCTTAGATCGACCATTTACTCCTTAGTGTTTGCTATAAAGATTAAATTCGTAACTAAATATAGCTAGAAAAGTGGTAAAATTTGCTCACTAATAAACAGTGAAAGATTTTAGTTTCTTGGAAATACATTAGAGATTTACTTAATTGTTCATGCATTTACTATATGAGCGGAACGGTAAAGCGTAACTTTTTGAGATTTTTTGAATCTTGAATAGAAGTTTTGAATTTGAATGTTTAATTTTTGAATTGTGCCAAAACTAAGGATTTAAAAAATAAGTGCAGGTAAATTATGGCAATATGGTTTGCTACACACTTTTTCACAATTGGTCAAATTGTTACGTAAAGTAGCACATTAAAAATTACTAACTAGGCAAAAGCGAAAATTTCCGTTACAACTCAGCCATTTAATTTCTGGTTAGTTGATATACGGAAATTTGAGGTTTTTCCGTCATCTCTTTCTCCATTTTCATAAATTACTATGAAACTGATGGGACAAAAGTGTCGAGTATTTTTTAAAAAATTAGAAGCTGTACGTACAAATTTGAGAAGGAAATTCATCAAAATCGTGTTTATTTATTTTTATGCATATTTTAATAATATGCTGAATTTAATAACTAATCCTAGCCCTACTTCAGAGATGAGCCGCGCGCACGACTTTTTCGTGTTAACACGAACACGCACGACACGATCGTGCATCGTGTCGTGCGTGCGTCGACGCGAGCCGTGTCGTGCCGTGCGTGTAACCCTCACTCAAATACTTCGTGCGTGCGTGCGTGCAAAACCAATAGTATCCTCGTGTCGTGCGTGTTGGTACTTTTAGCACTACACGCACGCTGTGAAGCGGGACATTGGTTACTAGTGCCAGCGTTGCTAAATTCTTCGTATATATATACTTGCATTTTTACACTCTGGAAATTTAAAATGTCGGTTAAGTGACAATTATTCATGATAGTGTCAAACAATTCTGCTGTTATACCCGACACGATAGTGCTCAAATGCAAAATAAACCGAAATTTTTTGGTCGTGCGTATCGTGCGGGGCGTGCGTGTTGTCGCATCGTGCGTGTCGTGCGTGTTTTTTCTTTTTAAAAAATTTTCCGTGTGTGTTGGGCATTTTTCTGGCAGACAAAGTCGTGTTTCGTGTCGTGCGTGAATTTATTTTAAAGAGCCGTGTTCGTGTTCGTGCAAAACGTGACACGAGCTTCGTGTTCGTGTCGTGCGTGTTTCAAAAAACCTTGACACGACTCATCTCTACCCTACTTCACTATTTGATTAACAGATTTGGTAACTCGTTCTTAAATTTACTTTACTTTCGACTTAGAAACACTACCAAAGTTGATGATGTTATTCAATTAATGCAAATATTTAAAAAATACTCCAAACCTTTGTACAAAATTTCCTTAGAGTTGTATTTTTATTGTATACAACTCGTGTTTTGTAGTAGGTGAGAAAAAATCCTGTAAAACATAACGCTTTATTTCAAAATTTAGTATAATTATAATTTAGTCTAATCAGGTTTTCACAATCATTGATTTTGTAAAAAAAAATGGAACAAGAGGACAAGTGGGAAAAAGGTTTTGCGAAATAAAATGTCCACATTTCGCTAAACTCTTTTTTGAAAAAAAAACGTGCGATTTTTCCTCGTAAATTTCCCCAGTAAATCTACATATTTTTGTCTTAAATGAAATCATATGTTAATGCATGTTCATGGCAATTTGAAGCGTTGCCCAATATTTGGATTGCGTAAAATTAAATATTTTTAAAGTATCGAAATATTTTAAATAACAATATGCCAAAATTAAGGATTATTTTAAAATAATAAAATTTGGTGAAAATTTCACCGTGAACTTTAATTTCTTAAATTCGATGGATTTTGTATAACATTTATCACTTTGAAATTGCATCACGGAGTAATAAGTTTTTAAAAATCGCAATCTGAACTAATTTTCTGAGATATTCGGCAAGTCTTGTTATCGAGATCAAATTTACAACTACATGTTGTAACCAAGAAGAGATTGTCAAATTTTATTGAAATTATTGCCTAACTTTTTACAAAATTTGGAAATATATTAACAAATTTTTCACTTTGGAGTATTAACGAATTAATTTTGAGAAAGTAAAATTTTAGGAATTAAATGTGAAATTATATTTGAATTGAAGTAGTATGCATAAAGATAACTTTTTACAAAATTAAACTGCCTTAAATGTTTAGAGGTCGTTTTCCAATTAGTTTATCATAAGAGATTTGCTTGTCTATCGGTTTAATTATTTTTTCAAGTAAATTTCAAACCTTAGCACTAATCATAAAAATATAGAACTTAAATTTCCAAATTTTGCGAAATAAATTGCCCATATTTCGCTAAATTCTTTCGTTTTTTTTGAAAAGCGTAGAATTTGTTGTTCGTAATAATGATTCACAATTATTTAACTTGCAAAAAAATGGGATCAGAAATGGAGTACTAAATTATAGAACAATTAATAAACCACTTTTCATTGAGACGCCGCATCTAAATTTTTTCCACTTGCGTGTATTGAAAATGCAACTAGATTTTTCAGGAGCAGAGTATAGTTAGCACATACATTCACGGTTTTCAGTTCTCAAAAATTAAATTTCCAAGTGTATGTATGTAAGTTTTACATTGTAAAACTTAATTACCTATGTTATTATTTCAAAAATGGAATCATTCCTAAATTTCTGAAAAGATTCTTAAAAAAATTTAAAGATATTTAATAACATGCATATTCAAAAATGAATGCTCAAATTTTTGTTATGAATATATTTACGCTGGATTTACCGAACTGCTTAAATTCATCTCTGTCACACTGTTATAAATCTGATGTAGTCAGGCAGGTATTAATTCCTCGGTATTAAACTTGTCACCGCTTGATATTCAAATTATACCGGTCCGTAAAAATTTACTACCAAACTGGTAAAGCTAGTAAGTATCGAGCTATTGCTACACGGTGGATACATTTACATTCTTAACCTCACTTACTCCAGGATATGAATAATACGATTCGGAGTTCGAGCACGAATTAATTTAGTCATAAGAGAAAAATGATGCGATTTTGATCCCATTGTTGAGAAATAGATTTAGGTCAACCTTTTGGCTACCATACATTTATGTAGAGAAATTACTCATGTATTGACTAATGACTACTAAAGTACACATATTTGTGTAGCATACCATTTTCCGTTGAGGACGAAATACACAAATATTTATGTGCACTGCATAAATTACTTTATCACCAAGATTTCTTAAAAAAAGTATTTCTCTGATATTTTGTGGACAACTCGATAATAAAAAGTGGATATATTCCGATATTTTTCTTCTGAAATTTTGGTGTTTTCTATATTGCGACCAATGTTAAAAAGTGAATTTTTCGTGTTTTTCGTCAAAAAAGCTCAAAAATTGGAAACTTTAATGGAAATTTAATTGAGGTGTAATTATGAAATTCACATCGTATACTGAAGGGAAATTTTATTAGGTTTCATGAAATATATGATATTCTTTATGCACAGTAATGCCCAACCCTCTCAAGAAAGTCTTATTTTTGGACTAAAGTGAAATCACAAATATTTATTAAGAATGATAAGTATGTAAGTAAATAAACTTGCCGACCGGTAAAATCCAGTCGGGATCAATTTCCTGACCTCGATCGCTCATTGCACAAATTTCACTCTTAAATTGGATTCAGTCTGAATTCTATAGCTTAATAAACTCTTCTCACAGAAAGATAACTGACGAGGAAGGATTCAGTGTAATTAAATAAAGTTAAATACGATGCAAGTTAAAAGAATCGTGGCGAAGGATTACCAATTAATTCATTGATTGAGTAATAATTGTTAAAAATTTGAAAACATGTGAGTGATTTTCCCCCATTATTTTTTACCTAATTCCCTTCGGGGGTATTTTTTAACTAGTGGAAACTTTTGTGAATTTACAGAATTTACGAAGTTTACAACGTCACAAAGAAGTTTATACGTTTCCGTAATGTTTGTCCATGCTTCAACGTCGTTATAATGTTTTTTAATATGATTTCATTGTTTCGTACAAAATAAGATGAAATATGAATTTGTCATCAAAAAGCGGTCTTACAAAGTTCGAATTATTGAAGTTAAAAGATAATTTGTTTTATCGGAATTATGATTTATTTTCTCTATTGCTTTTTAATTTGATACAATTTTTTTGTGTGGCAGGTGAAATTCCCCAGATTGTGTTGGTATCTAGGTATAAACTGTAGAAATACGCGTGTTTCGTTTAAAATTATGTAAAAAATAGATATTTAATACTAAAAAAGTGGCATTTTCGTGAAATTTTAAACCCAAATTCTACAATCATGGGGTCTGCATATTATTCGATGCTACCATGTGGTCGGTTTTATCCTCAGGAAAACTATGGAGAAAAGCTGAAATGCCATACTTGCAAAAATCAAGGAAATCCTGACCAACTTAATTTTGAAGAACATTATTCTCCACTTCGAAATTTACTGGTAAGGTTAACCCGAAAACGCATAATTTAAAAAGTTTTAGCAAATTTAACCTGAACAAAAAAATATTTACTTGCAAAAATTGAATTGTGAACTTTGATTTTGATTGTGATTTTTTAAAAACTTAATATTATTTATTATGTTGTAATAAGGTTTTTGTGTTTTTCGACCACAATTTTCTAAAATTTGAAACAAGACCAAATTCGTGTTTGTATATTCAAGACATTTGCACATATGCATATTTGCACATTTTCAATATATTAAAACTACCCAATGTACAGTTTCTTGAAATTATTTTTCATCAGTTTTGAAATAATATAAATACCTTTTGGAGCGTCTTATTTCGCATAGAGGAAGTCACACAACGAACAGTTTCCGAAATAATGTTGCAAAATAAGAACAGATTTTCTGGGGTGAATACATATCTTCCTAATATTTATACCAATTACAAAATTTTAATCTTACTATGAGGCAGTCCTTCGTAACTTTGCAAAATCAGAAAAATCCTTACATGTGAAGTGTTACAACTATTTTTGAGGAAAAATAGCTTACACATTTTTGTAAGCTTACTCAGATCAAGGTTGTAAAATTATTTTACAAATGACTGCGTGACTTACCTCATTATGTTTTTTAATTATTGGGACAATGGTCTTCTTGATGCTACAATTACTCGAAATTTTTCATGGGATTGGCAAAATGGAAAAATTATCTGCAAGTCTTCAAATGATGTGGGTTTTCTAAAATTTTATATTTTGGCACTTAAATATTTCAAGTTAATATATATGAAATTTTATAATTTTTAAACACGTTTAGTAATGTTTTCCAAATTAATTTCCATATCGAATAGAAAATGTTTTTGTCAATATGTAGATTTCCCAAGTTTAAAAATGTGTCTAATTCAGAGGTCAACGCCGACGGTTTACGCGGCGGCGGCAGCGTGAAAATTTATATTGGTCGGCGGCGGCGGCGCGCCGCAGCGCGGTGATCACATATCTTCGGCGGCGCCTACATAAATTACTAAACGTATATATGCTAAATAGGAAGGATCTGAAACACGCTAAATTAACATTGCTAATAATCTAAAATTTGCAATATTTCTTGGAGAATGTATCTTTTCAACCACATAGTTGACACTATGTGGTTGACAATGTTCCTTCATGCACTTTAGAAAAATTTTAGACAAAAATTGAACATGTTATATTTGACGTTCAAATTTTGACTATTTGAGGTGCTCATTAAAACTGTGTCAAAGATCACGGCTTTTTCATTTCGCGCAGTTGGTTGTAACATTTCTTACATAATTTTATTGTGCATCCCTATTTTAGGGGTTTAAACTAGGTATTAAGTCTTTGTCCCTATTTCTTGCCTGGAACATCAAGTAGTCAACTTGAATTTGATGGTATCGTAAATGTGATCTGGTAAATTTCAATACGAAAATTTTTAAAATATTAATTTTCAAAACTAAACAAAAATAATATTTAAAAAACTGCTAAAATTTTAGAAAAGTTAAAAAAAAATATTTAAAAATACACTAAATTAAAAGGTTCATCAGATTTAAATGTAAATCGGCGGCCGAATATTGCCGCCGGCGCGCCGGCCAGATTTTCGAGGCGGCGGCGGCGCGTCAAAACGGTTCGGCGTCTGGCGGCGCGGCGGCGTATGATCGGCGGCGTTGACCTTTGGTCGAATTCAAAGATTTATAAATTAACAAGATGCATATAATTAAATAATATGGTAATTTAATTTATTCACAATTATATTAGCTAAAAATATTTAATCCTAAATCCTAAATCCTAAATCCTAAATCCTAAATCCTTTAATCCTAAATATTTAATCCTGTGCGTCAGTAATACGTCAGTAATAGTTTATTTTAGACAAATATTTACGAGAGTGAAGATTAGATCAGAAGATAATCGGATTGGCATCTCGTCATTAAAAAAATTCTCGTTGACATATAATTAAAAGTTTTTATTGAATTAAGAGATTTATTTAAATATCAACGCAATTCACACGGCTTTCGTAACATTTAAAAAAACGCAAACTCTGTAAAGTTACAAACTATTACACAACCTTAGAAATATTTCTAAGGAAAATTAGCACACAAATTTGTTATTCCGATCAAAGACGTCAAAGTTTGTAAAATTATTTTATAAAATTTACGGACTTTCCAAAAATTTCGAAGGACTGCGTTAATTCTCTTCATAAATGGTATTTATCTTAAATATTTTTATAATTAAAAAACTATATTTTAAAATTTTTCCAGATCATCGACAAAATTTTGGACCATCTCGACCCAGCCTCCACCCTCTCAGCCAGATTGATCAGTTCCTTATGGAATTCAGAAATCTGTCGAAGAATCAACGGCCCTAAAAAATCCGTCCAAAAATATAAAACCATTTCAAACAAAATTCAACACTTGAAATTTTCCGCTCACTCGGAACTCGTTGACTTGCTAAAATTTTGCAACTCTGCCTGCAGAAAATTCTTCATGACGTCGTTCTACTTTAAATTACTGCCAAAATTCAGCATTTCCATGTTGAGCGAAACTACGTTCTCCAACTTTCTCCAAGATTCCATTACACGGGTGAAAATTGCCGTCTACACGAGCCACGTTTCCCAGTGGTTCGACCTCCTCAAGAAAATGCGGGCTTTGAAACACTTGTACATCATTCGAGTTCCGGAATTCGGCCGGGCTAATTTTCAAGACGCCGGGAACTACAAACTCGTTTCGAACTATGACGATAAAAATTTAATTTTAGAAAATTTGGTCACCATTAAATTAAAAAGTTTAGCTTGTTCCGAACATTTTTTCAGGTTTCATGATTCCGATTTGAACGCGAGTTTGATCTCATTTTTGAAATGTACGCGGAACGTGAAGCTCCTGCAGTTTGTCGGTTGGCCAGGAAAAGCTGTCGAGGTTTTGGACAAGGTGAAAGTTTTGGGTGAAAATTTGGAAATTTTGCGCATCTCGGGTGGGAGAAAGTTGGGGGAGGAGGATATCAAAGGATTGACAGGAATGGACTTTCCCTCCATGAAAAGGATCGAGCTCAACGTTTTAGAGGAGAAAAGAGGTGGCGTTGGAGACCACGTGTGGGGAAAGTTTATGGAGAAAGTTGGTCAGAAAGTGAGAGTGGTGAAAATTGCTTGGCATACTTAATTTTAATTAGTAATTAATTAATAATTAATTATAGTTTGATTTTTTTATAATTCTGTAATTATTTTTTAAATGAATCTTGGCGATAAGTCATTGAGTCCGACTTTTAGGAATAAAGTTTTCAACTTGGTTTAAAAAAAAGATTTAGTTTTTTGTACACTTTAGAAGTCGTTATTTAATTATGCATACGTGTCATATTGCATTTTGGTAATTAACAGATACCTTGCCTTCAGACGATTAAATTAGGCGTAAAATTATCAAATTTATTTATCCCGTAGGTTGATAGCATTATTACATAAAATTGACAATTTAGCTCGCTTCCAATTTTCAAAAAATAAAACTTGATTTTTTTACATAATGTTCGTCGCCTTCGTTTAAACTAGAAATATCGTAAGCATTTTGACGGATTTATTTTACTAATATACCCATAATCCAGTGTGTGCAGGGACGTATTGATTTCTCGGTATTAAAGTTGCTACCGCTTGGTATTAAAATTATGTATACTGGTGCTTAAAAATTTGGTGCCGATATGGTAAAACTTTAATAATAGACGGTATCAGTTATCAATATCACTCTTGTCGAGTCATACATATATATATAAAAACCACTTGGTATTATTTCAATATTGGATTCTTAAGAATGCAGTAAAATCTGCAAAATCTTTGTGAAAGAAAAATTTTAGGAATTGAGTGTGAAAATATGTTCGAATTGACGAAGTAATATGCCGGAACATAAATGTTTATAAAATCCAAATGTGTTAAGGTATTGAGAGATGTAGTTTCGCATGCTACGCTACACGTCATTTTTCTTTACCTTACCCGGGGGATAATGTGAAATTTTGCTGTTTTCTTATTTTTCTTTAGGGTATTTCATAAGTTATGAATCATAACCTTCAAACTGGGTGAATTGCCTGTGCTACTTGAGGAAACAGAAATTTTTACAAAACCAAAATGCATCAATTAGTTAAAGATTGTTTAAACGTGATATTTTTTTTACTTGAAATACTGAAATATTGTGATCTTACTTTTTGTGGTATTTTATAAATTTCAAACATGCAAACAAATCATACCAATTTTGAACACGTCAACTTAAATTGTCGGATTTTACTAAATAAATTATCCATATTTCGCTAAACTCTCCCCTTCTTCTGAGAAACGGTACGATTTTTAGTTGTAACCTTACCAAGTAAAACCACGTATATTTTTATTTCAAATTAGGTTATCTTTTTGTCAACGAATTTGCTAAATAAATAAGTGGCAATATCGACGTGAGCGTGGCTAATATTTAAATTCTTGTCAAAATTAAGGATTTTTTAAAAATTTTATAAAGTAATAAAATTCAATTTCTTGAATTTATTAACTGGGTTTGTATCAAATTTGAATTTCAAATTTGAAATTTCGTCATTTACACACCAGAGTTAAAACTTTCAAAAATGATAATCAAAATTACACTTCTGAGATCAATCTCTCCTGGGTTTGTGTTTGCTACAAAGATTAAATTTGTAACTAAATATAGCTACAAAACTATATAGTATAATTTGCGGTCTGGTGTCACTTTGCATAACGCATTTTGCATACAAAATTATCCCCTAACGCATGTAACCTAAATAGTCACTTTGCATACAAGGTCATTTTGCATACTGCTGCTTTGCAAACCACTCGTTGATCTCCTCATCTTTTCTCTTTTCACAAACTCCGCCCGATAAAATATTTAATAATCAAGTGATTCAGTAAAATGTCTGGGTTCTTCCATAACACCTACGTTGGATTTGAGTACGACGTCCGATAATTGTATGGAATAGTTACACTTTTTATGAAAATTCCACTCCTTTTACCAATAACTCTGTAGAGGCTTGGCATTTTCGAATGAACGTCATTTTCAATGTGTCTCATCAAAGTATGTGGAATTGTGTCGTAATTTTGAAGGCTGATCAGATACATTGAAAATTGGAGATTCAAAAATTACACGGTGATATCAGGTTAATGAATTTTGTTGAAATTTATAATACTACAGTTGATATGCAGCGATATTTTCGACCAATTTCGTATTGTCTACACGATTTTAGTTCTCATTAATCAGAAATTATTTCTTTTTACAATTTATGAGAAAATGTATTATGGAAAGTGGTTGTTTATGCCATGTGACTTTTATGGGATAAAAATTCTGCAATATAACCGTTATGGAAAAGGGATTATGCAAAGTGACCGGAGACGATAATTTGCTAACTTATTTATAAAAAGTGAGAAATTTTAGTTTCTTGGAAATTCATTCGGAATGAACTTATTGTTCAATTTTTGAATTTAATTGGACTTTTTGAATTAAATTTTTCAATTTTTGAATTTTGATTTGAATTTTTGAATTTGATCGCCTAATTTTTCAATTGTTTCAAAATTAAAAATTTTAAAAGTAAATAGTGCTAAATTATTGCTATCTGATTTGTTGCATTTTTTCACAAATTATCTAATTGTTACGAAGAGTAGCACATTAAAAATTACGAGCTCGGAAGAAACAAAAGTTTCCATTTCCGGTTAGTTGATTTGTTTCCGTCATCCTTCTCTCAATTTTCATAAATTATTGAAAAACTTGGGTACAAAAGTGTCGTGTATGTTGTTTAAATTGTAAGCTGCACTTACAAATTTGCGAAAGAAATTCATCAAAGCCTTAATTGTTTATTTGGCTTTTCCGCATAAAATTTATGAACCCAAAGCCTACTATCTGATTTACAGATTTGGTACCTCGCTCTTAAATTTATTTTACTTTAGACTTAAAAATATTACCAAAGTTAAGCTAATGTTATTCAATTAATGTTAAAATTTAAAAACACTCCAAACCTATGCACAAAATTTCCTTAAAGTTGTTTTTTAGGGTCAAATTTATTGCGCCCAAGAAAATAATATTTTGTTCCAAAGAAAATTAATAATTTTCTGCAATCATGAAATCCGCAATGGAGTTAATTTTTTTCTCCAAAGAAAATATAAAACATTCCAAAGAAATAGTAAAATATTCAATGATGAATAATTCGAGCTTTATTTAATAACTTGGTAATCAGACAAGCCTACATTTGCATGCTATGCTTTGACCATATGTACAAACCAAACCATATGAGATGAGAACCATATACCATGAGATTCCCCTAAACGTCCAGCTAAATAATTATTTGTCTACGCTGAGAAAAAACACAAGGGCCACCAATTCTATCATTAGGCCAGCTTTGTTCAATGCAGCTAGTTGAAAGTGGTGCTGAATTCGAAAATTGCAAAAGGTTTTTAGGCCTTTTAAGATGGCCTTATAGATTTGTCAGGATGTCTGTCTGTCCGTCCGTCTGTCTGTACGCACAATAACTCTCTTTAAACACATTTTATCGACTTGAAATTTTGTATACTCGATCTTCGGGTCAAAAGTAAGGATGAGTTCGTTTCAACCTAAAGTGGTTGGCCGGTGGGGGTCTTTTCCACCCAAATGTGTTGTCATTAACAACCAAGATGGCATTAATGCCATCTTAAAAGGCCCCGCAAAGTTGCTTGGAGTAGGTTTTCTAAATTACTTCAAAACTGAATACCTTAATCAATGTGATGGCTTGTACGATACAGGGTTCTTAAAAACCCAACCCCGGGAATTTTTCCGGGTTCTTGGGGGTTTTTGTGGGTTTATGTAAATTTTTTCAATCCGCCCCAAATTTTTACATAAACCCTGGAAAAACCCGCGAAAACCCCGTTAAGCTTTAGGGGTTTTCTGAGGATTTGATACCCCAAAAACCCCAACCTACAAAAACCACCAAAAACTCGGGGTGGCGAACCCTGGGTTCGAAGGACTTGTCCTTGGCTAGCAAAAATTGTACTCTTCTCTTAATGTTCGCACCATAACGCCTTGATAAAGAATATTAACTTGGAATTTAATTTAAATTACCTACGATATATATTTTAAATCTTGTATTTTATGCATTGAGATTTTTATTATTTGTTTGGAATTTATTCTAAAAATCTTGGAATAAAAAAATAATTAATTGCAAGATCTACAATTGGAACAAATTATTAATTTTCTTTGGAAGAAAAAATATTTTTCTTGGGTGGTTTAATTGGCACCCTGTTTTTTATTGTATACAACTCGTATTTTGTATACGGTGAGAGAAAATCCTACAAAAAAATAATGCTCTCTTTCTAAATCATTGATCTTATAAAAAAAATGGAATAAGACGGCTGAAAGTAAAAATGATCTCGCTGGAAGATATTTTTAGACTGATGGTGATTTTTATTAAACAACTTGGTTTTAAGGTTTTGACAGTACATAGGAGACATTCATACATATGTAATAATATGTGGTCAGAAGTGACCATACAAACTACGCAGAGTTATGCTCAAACGAAGTGTCCCTTCTAATGAGGCATAAAAACAAAAGGACCCTTTTAATCCCTTGTCCTGGGAAAAAGGTTGGAAAATGCTCAGCCCTCATAAAAGTCGACAAACTTAACAATTGATAAATATGGAAAACTTTGTTAACATGCATATTTTAACAACGGCAAGAGGAAAAACAGGTTTTGCGAAATAAATTTTCCAAATTTTGCGTATTTTAAAATAGAAAGACATATTTAAAAAGCGATATGTAAAAGTTACAGATTTTTTTAAACAATAAAATGTAGTGAGAATTTCACCCTGAAATTTAATTTCTCGAATCCGATGGGTTTCGTGTCATATTTATCAGTATAAATTGCATAATTTAAACACCGAAGTAATAAGTTTTCAAAAATCATAATTAAATTGCACTCCTGAGATGTGACCGTTACAGTCCAGATCAAATTTAGAAGTACATTTTAATATTTTAAAGTCAAAGAAAAAGTGCAAAATTTTACTTTTGTCGAATTCGAATTTAGTGACACCCTCCTGTGAGAAATGTGCACTGCAAACCAACGAAGTCTAATATATTTTTAGTAACTTTGTTACCACTTTACTTTCGCCATGATGCGATTTTTATTCGATGACGACGATGTAATCTTGATCCCATTTGTTGGGATCAAGGTTTACTATAAATACAGATTTCATGAAATCGATGACCTTCTGTATGTTTAGCCTCCTCAAAAAAGGATTATTTTTGGGTTCAAGTGAAATCACAAATATTTAACAAGAATGACAAATAAATAAGTAAATAAATAAATAAACTTGCCGACCGGTAAAATCCGGTCGAGATCAATTCTCGTGACCTCGATCGCTCATTACGCAAATTTCACTCTCAAATTGGATTCAGCCTAACTTTTACAACTTAATAAACTCTCCACACAGAAAGACAACTGTGACGAGGAAGAATTCAGTTTAATTTAATTAACCAAGTTAAATATGAAGCAAGTTAAAAGAATCGCGGCGAAAATTAGTGGAATAATAAAACAATTAAATATTTCAATTTACTTGGTTTAAAGTTTAGTAATTATTGTTTAATTTATTTAATGGGAGTGATTTTTTTCATATAATTTTTCACTCAATTTTATTTGGGATATTTTTTAACCAGTGGAAACGTTTGTGAACTTCAGGATTTTATGAAGTTTACAAAGTCACAAAGAACTTTACAAGTTTCTCCAATGTTTTCCATGCTTCGACGTCGTTATAATATTTTTTTATATGATTTCACTGTTTCGTAAAAACAAGATGAGATACGAAATAGGAATCTCGCATCAACGCCTTAAAAAGTTGGAATAATTGAGATTAAAAATAATTTGTTTTATCGGAACTACGATTTTTTTTTCGAATGCTTTTGTATTTCATAATTTTTTTTTCTGTGCAAAGTGAAACTCCCCAATTTGTAAAAACTGAAGAAATACGTGTATTTCGTTTAAAATTATGTAAACAATGTATGTAAATATTTACTTAAAAAAGTGACATTTTCGTGAAATTCCTACCCAAATTCAGATTACAATTTCGTGAAAAATGGGATCTGCATATTACTCGATGTTACCACGTGGTCGATTTTATCATTGGGACAAAAATGGAAAAAGGCTGAAACGCGATATTCCCAAAATTCAAGGAAATCCTGACCAATATAATTTCGAGGAGCATTATTATCCTCTACGAAATTTATTGGTAAGGTTATTCCAAAAATTCATACATAATTTAAAATGTCTTAAAAAATTTAACCTAAACAAAAAATTTTACTGACAAAAATCCATCTGCATCTGCAACTTTTATTTTGATTATGATTTTTTTTAAACTCAAATATTATTATGTTGCAATTAGGTTTTTTGTGTTTTTCGACTCGAAGTTGATAAAATTTGAAACAAGGCTATTTCGTGTTTAAAATGTGCAAATGTCTATATGCAAGATATTTGCACATTTGCATATTTGCATTTCAAGATATTTGCACTATGTGCAGTTTTTTAATTTCTTTTTCGTCAGTTTTGAAATAACATAAATACTTTTTGGTACTTATGTAAATGTCAAAGTCTTATTTCGCACACAGTAAATAAGTAGTTTAGGAAATATTGTTGCAAAATAAAAATATCCCGTTTTTCTTCGGTAAATACATATTTATATTCCTAATACTTATGCCATTTACAAACTTTCAGTGTTGTTATAAGGCAATTCACGCAACCCTTGGCAATTTTTGTAAAATCTGTAAACTTATGTGCAGAGCGTTTATGAATATTTCTGAGGAAACTGATCTAACAAATTTTTGTAAACTTGCTCAGGTCAAGGTTATTTCTATTTTTGTAAAAATTAAAAAAAAGTTATTTCATCAAATTTATTCATTTTACCAGTAAGACTGCACAAATTATCTAATTGTTTGACCTGTCGTCATCTTGGTGCGACGATTATTCAGACTTTTCCATGGGATTGGTAAAACTTCCTACAACTTGAAAACATAATCTTTGAGTCCCAGAATGATATCGGTTTTCTAAAACTTTATATCTTGGCACTTAAGTTCTTCAAGAAAATGTATAGTTATCAAGTTGTATTTTAAAAAATATGTTTAGATCGTATAGTTTTGCAAATTAATTAGCTATCGTATAGAAATTATTTGCAAACATTTGTATTTCTAAAGTTTCAAAATTTGTAAAATTCAAAAATTTGTAACTTAAACATACCTATATAGAATATATTTAATATTCCAATTTAATTTGAGGGTCATTAGGTACAAATATTTTATTATAAATCCGTCCTACTTTGACGCCTCTAATAATTTATTTTCCAAAATCATTTACCAATTATCATTTGATCAGATCGGCGCGAGCAGTTTGACAATGCATTAAATTTTATGGTCTTAAAATTTCGAATTGAAATATGGATAGCTAAAATTTTGCGTTGCATTAAATATTCAGGCAATTCACGCAGCCCGTCGTAACATTGCAAAATCAGTGTCAATTCTATAACTTACAAGCTTTTACAAAACTTTATAAATATTTTCAAGGAAAATTAGCACTGGAAATTTATTACGAGATAATTTCCAATTTTATTTTGTTGATTTACAACCTTGCTAATTACGTACTTTCTTATTTTTAACCAGATCGTAAACAAAATTTTGGACCATCTCGACCCAGCCTCTACCCTCTCGGCCAGACTGATCTGTTCTTTATGGAATTCAGAAATCTGTCGAAGAATTAACGGCCCAAAGAAATCCGTCCAAAAATTCAAACCCATTTCAAACAATATTCAGCACTTGAAATTTTCCACCCACTCGGAACTCGTCAACTTGCACAAATTTTGCAACTTCTCCTCCAGAAAATTCTTCGTGGCGTCGTTCTACTTTAAATTACTGCCAAAATTCAGCATTTCCATCTTAAGCGAGACTACTTTCTCCAACTTTCTCCAGGATTCCGTCACCCGGGTGAAAATTGTCGCCTACACGAGCCACGTTTCCCAGTGGTTCGCCCTGCTCAAGAAAATGCGAGCTTTGAAACACTTGTACATCATTCGAGTTCCGGAATTCGACCGGGCTAATTTGCAAGATCGCGAGAATTACAAATTCATTTCGAACTATTATAACGATAAGAATTTAATTTTAGAAAATTTGGTCACCATTAAATTACAAAGTTTAGCTTGTTCCGAACATTTTTTCAGTTTTAATGATTCCAATTTGAACACGAGTTTGATGTCATTTTTGAAATGTACGCGGACCGTGAAGCTCCTGCAGGTGGTCGGTTGGCCGGGAAAAGTTGTCGAGGTTTTGGACAAGGTGAAAATTTTGGGTGAAAATTTAGAAATTTTGCGTATCTCGGGTGGAAAAAAGTTGGGGGAGGAGGATGTCAAAGAATTGACAGGAATGGAATTTCCTGCCATGAAAAGGATTGAGCTTAACGTGTTGGACGAGAAAAAAGGCGGCGTTGGAGACCACGTGTGGGGAAAGTTTGTGGAGAAAGTTGGTTAGAAAGTGAGAGTGGTGAAAATTGCTTGACATACTTAATTTTAAACGAAATACGAAACTACAAATACGAAATTTTCCCAAAATTACACACTTTAGAAAGATTAACTTATATAATATAACTTATATAATAACTATAATTTTATAATTACTTAAATTTATTTTTTACTATAATAATATATTGAAATTTTATAAATGGTGTACAAACTCGACAAAATTGTCATTACTCAACTTTTTGAATTTCTTAATTGCTCAAAGATAATGCAGAAATCATGTTCAGGTCGAAAATGAATGAAAATAGTGGAAACTCGAAATTCATTGTACTCCTCGAAATTTAAATTGCATTCAATTTAAATTTCATAATTTGTATACAAGATTAAAACCAAATTTTCGAACAATTAGACACTTTACACAATTTGGGTGAAATATTTTCTCACAATTTCCATCATCATACTTGGCAGGCTGACTTTTTTCGGGATCAATCCGTCCTCATGACACAAACCGAGGACAGCCTTGTCCCCGTAATTTTCAGGCCGAGATTATTCGCGATGACCGAGGAACGATTGACACAGCGAGAAATCGCACAATATTCCCGATAAGGCACTGGTCGGATAAGACCTTATCATCCTCGTCGTGGTGACAACTTTCTAGACGGATTCGTTCCAACCCGACCAACGATTCTGCTTTTATGGTGAGATTTCACATCGCGTCAAGTGTTGGGCCTAATCGAAACTAGGTTAAAAAACTCACCGCCATTAGTTATGAATTTAATGAGTACAAATTTGTCGTCCAGAATTTCAAAACAAACTCCCAGAGCCGAGAATTGATAAAAAATGTGTTGATTTTCACAATTTTGGCGATAAGTCATCGAGTCAGAGGTTAAGGGGAAAAAGTTTTCAACTCGGTTTAAAAAAATGGATTGATTATTTTGTACGGGTTAGAAGCCGTTATTTAATTATGTGTATGTGTCAGTTTAATCTTGTCAGTAATAGATGTGCAGTCTCTACATCTCTACATCTCGACGTAACAAAGGGATGAAATCATGACATAAGTGTATATGTCACTTACTGGAACTTTGAAGTTGAAAATTTCTTCAGACTTTCGTGACCTCTCGTGACGTTGGAATGTAGGCTACCAGTGAATTCAGGGTTAAATTTCATATTAAACTAACATATATAAGCAATTTGACCCTAACCTGACCTTTCAAAGGCGCTCAAATTCTAATAAGGTCTATCCCTTGACGTAAGAAACTTACATTATAAGTTTCTGGTCAGGATTTCTTTTCCTTCACGCTTTATCAGACCAACGGACAAAACGACGGACGGACAGACAGACATAATGATCTTATAAAGGGGTTTCATCCCTTAAAATAAAATGCAAAGACACTCAAAACTGTTTTCCATCGTCACATATTTATTAAAATATGTATGTATATCCCACTGACTTTAAATACATTTCTGACAAGACAATAAAAAATCAGGGAGCAAACTCTATATTTAATTATTTATGTGGAGCACACGCAAGATCTCTTACTCGCCTCTTGCACTGTAGGCCCTTCTGCGTTGTACCAATACACTGGGTCACAAATGATCGAAATTCATCCTCGATTTCTGGAAAGACATGTGCATTGAATTGCTCCTGCATCGCCTGTGTCGCAGCACGTGTCCCTGCCGTGAAGTAATTGACACAACTTGTCATTTTCTTAATTCCGATTTCATAATAGAATCCGACAATGCAGTTGAAAAGTTCACCCATCATATTTTGGCTTAATCGGAAACGTTGCATTGCTTTGATATGATTCGTTGATCCAGTTACGGATGGGTGCCGCTGGTCTAGTTTTTGTTGAGAAATCACGTAGCAATACTCGTTTGGTCCGAGGACGGCGTAGATGCAGCACACCTTAGGGTTTTCACCTTCCAGGTCATAGATGAATTCGATATCTTGAAAAGTCGGTTCCGTCTGTAAAGGATGGAATTGAACTGCCCAGAAGTCTTGGACATCTTGTGGTTCTACTCGGGCCATTTTGACGTTTCTGGGGATTAAAGGTATGCTAAGTTATCAATTTGTAATTCAGGATGTAAGCTAAGCTGCGGTTAAACACGCTAAATAAATTTGTGGAAAATTTATCCATGGTTGACCAGATTGGCACAACTGGGTAAAATATGCACAAGGGTTGGACCAATTTTACACAAGTTGGACAAATTTTACGCAACTGTTGGATAAATTATACATAATTGTTGTGTCATCCTCATTTTCTCTGCACAAACTTGGATAAATTTTACACAACTTTTATTTAGAGTGTACTTTGCTCATTAGTAGCCTGCGCCAATGTTATAGTATGCCGCAACAAGTTGCCAAGGAGTGAAGTATAAATGCAGCTTTACAGGATTTTGACTAAACTTATCAATCTTGGTAGTACAAGAAAATAATAGCGACAAGACATTTGCAAGTTATGAATGCATCAAAAAAATTCGACGTGATTTTCAAGATTTTCTGTGAAGTAAATTACTCCTGTTTTTTTGGCTATAAAATCTCGCGGTAAAAAGTTTCCACCTGGCCCACACAGTTCGCACCCAATTCCATTCAAAACCCTATGTCTAAAGTTTTAAGTTGCCATAAGCTTTGAATGGAATTGGGTGCGAACTGTATGGGGCAGGTGGAAACCTTTTTACCGCGAGATTTTACAGCAAATAAAATAAGAGTAAACTGCAATTTTTATTCTTAATATTTTATTCGTAAAGGTCTTAATGACCAATAAAATTTAATGACTTACATGTATAATTAGTCAAACGTGCAGAATAAAAATTAAGTTGGGCTGAAACAATTAACTAAAATTCGCCCTATATTCCTATCTTCAATACTACACTCTTAGAAACTTGGTATTGAAAAAAACTTAACGGTATTGATACGTGACTCTACCGCCTTGGTATTAAACAGTTATACCATATTGGTATAGAACCGGTATTGAAATTATACCCCATGGTAATAATTTTAATACTAATGGGTATTAATTTTTTTACCATGTAGTATTAATTCAATACCGGATCAATACCACGCGGTAGAGTCACGTATCAATACCAACGGTTATTGATTTTTTAAGAGTGTACACAAAAACATTTTAAAGTTAATTATTTACCTGAATTTCCAATCAATTTAAAGAAGTATGAGATATATCCAGCTGCCGAAAGGATTATTTGAAGTATAAGTAGAATTGCTGAGTTTGGCAGTGTGAGCAAGTTTGCACAGTGCGTAACGTGTGCAGACAATGGATTAGATTTTATTAATGCAGAGTGAATCATATAACTTGCAACTCACCACTGAATTGTCTTTCTATGTTGAATCGCATTGCTGAGTATTTTCGCAACGGTTGCATTTATTGCATTGCAGTCAATTGCATCCAGCATCGCGTTATGTTATGTATAACAAAGATTAAGGTACATCCGGGTCAAGTTTAACATAATCACCAAATTGGAATAGTATGTATGTAAATATACATTTTCTACATAAGCAAAGCATGAATAATCCATTTCATGCTTTTGTTTTTGCATACACCATTAAAAATTAAAAATCTGGTAGAGTAACATACATACATATATACTCCGGACTGGATTTAGTAATAACTTTCCACCGGATTGGTAGTAGTTTGTTTCTGAAGGGTAAATTTTTCATTACTAAATGGTCATGCCCGTTATTCCCCGTGCTGGTACAGTAGTATATGTACTTCCGGTCGGTAATGATTTAATTCCAATTTTCTAGAATATTAATATATGCAAATATTATCGTCACACATACATATCCCTTGTATTCATTAATTTTCTACTACACGCATAAATAAGTCATCCTATTCACGCAGCAATTACTTTAGCAAATTTACTAGTTCAAAATCTACTAAAAAAGTAAACTTAAAGTGCAAAAAATTAAAAACACCAGATGATCAAAATATTTCGCTTATATGTAGATTTACAGTATGTAACAAAAGTATAGCTACGATGACATATTTTTTATCTCGACATGATGCCGTAATATTTCAACTTTGAAACTCCGTACAAAAATGTCAAAACTATCTGCCGACAATTTCCTCGTCGCCGATTTTTAATGTCGCAGATAGGTCAAAGGTCAGGATTATTTTTCTAAAAAAATTTGAGGCGTCGAAAAAAAAACTTCGTGGATAATTTTTTTTGAACTTGCAATATTTTTTACTGGATGCGGCATGCGTTTTGAAGAATAATGAGCTTTGGTCGGACCGTGTACGATTTTTTTGGCGCCCACAGGAATTTTTCGCCCAGGACAGGTTGGAGGTCTAAAATCGCCGCCTTGGCGAAAATTAAAAAACTGAAATATACGTTTACATATCCGGACCCTCTATATGCAAACGTATAATTCAGTTTCGGCTGGAGAGAAAGTTTTACTGGCAAAGCTAATCACTTTCTCCTCCCCATATTCGTCTAATTGAGAGATATACGCTCCTACACCGATATTACTGGCGTCTGTTCTCAAAATGAAAGGCTTTCCAGTGATCGGGTGGGCTAATACTACTTCTTTTAAGAAAGCGGCTTTAAGTGCATGAAAAGCCCGTTTTGCGGCGGGTGTTTCACGATAAGCACTTTTATTTGAGGTCAACTTATAAAGTGGCTCCGCTAAAATGGCCATATGGTCAATAAATCCATGATACCATTGGATCATCCCAAGAAAAGTCTTTAAAAGTTTTCTTGTGGATGGAAATTCAAAATTTTGAATGGTCCTGACCTTTTCTGGGTCCATTTCTATGCCTTTAGAGGACACAATGTGACCAAGGAAGGTTGCGCGATTCTTCCCAAAATGGCATTTTGATTTTTTAAGTGTCAGGCCAGCTTTTCGAAACCGTTCTAAGACAGTCTCGAGATGCCTTTTGTGATCACTAAAGTTTTCACTAAATACGAGGACATCATCTTGATAAATTAACACAAATTCATCGAGACCAGCAAGAAGCTCGTTCATCATCCTCTGATAGGACGCCGCAGCATTCTTGAGTCCGAAGCACATCATGTTAAACTCAAAAAGGCCTCTTTGGGTACAGAATGAGGTATACTTGCGGCTTTTACGATCCATTGGAATCTGCCAGTACCCTTTCTCTGCATCCATTGTACTGATATACTTTGCGTTGGCCAACTTACGGAGAAGGTCATGAACGCGTGGAATGGGAAAACTATCATTCTCCGTATATCTATTGATGTGTCTCAAATCAACACAAAATCGCCAAGTCCCATCCGTTTTCTCTTTCAAAAGAACAGGACTTGCGTATGGGGAATCTGATGGACGGATCACCCCCAATTTTAGCATTTCGTCAACTTGCCGGTTGATCTCTGCATGTTTGTGGGGTGCCGTTGGATACGGACGCTGTCTCTTAGGATGCTCCTCCATCATTTTTATTGTGTGTTTGACACCTTTTATTCTCCCTAGTGGGGCATCGACTACGTCGGGAAACTTTTTGATAAGCTCCTTCAGTTGGTGGGATTCAAATTCACTCACTAATTGTAAATTGCAATTGGATACGTGAACTTTACTAACTGTGAGTAGGGACTTTTGACACGGAAAGGAGTCTGAAAACCCCCATTCCAGTGACCCTATGTCCAACACTAACCCACAATTATGAAGAAAGTCCATACCCAAGAGCATTTCATTTGAACTGTTCATGACAGCAAATGTGTGAGTGTATTCACGATCATTTAAATTAAATTTTAAGGTAACCATACCAGTAGGAAGAGACTCAGTACCATCTAGCATGATAACTGGTCCTTCTACCCATTTATTTACAGAAAATCCTTTCCCTAATACTTTCCTAAGCGATTTTAAAGTTACAATTGAAATCGTAGAACCAGTATCATATGGAACATATGATTCTCCAATTCCATGATGAAATTTTCAGCAGAATCAATGTTCGGGTTAAATTTTGGTGGGGGAATATTGCCTACAGAATGAAATAGCACAGGTCCTGATGAGGAAGAACGAGTTTGCATGATTGCATCGGTAGGATTTATGGGGATTTCTTTCCGTTCCATTATTCTAAGGCGAGAAATGCACCACGCCGGAATCTCGTCCTCTTTGTTCTCACTTGGAGGGTTATTGACTTGTGGTGGAGAATGGGCCAAGAATTGCGGTGGTGAAGAACATGACAAGAATTGTGGTGGTGGAGGGACGCCAAGAAGTTCCACACCTGAAGAGAGGTCATCTTGAGTTGGTAGCGTGGGTATCATCTCCTTGGAAGGAGTTTGAACCCTAGAATTTGCATTAATGAACTCCTTGATGATGCTTGACTGAGCCTCAATAGTTCGTTCATGGTTCTGAATAGTCGTTTGCATCCTTGTCAACTGTTCATGAATCCAAGTGACCTCATGCTCAAACGATGATTTCATGGAATCTTGAAAACTTCCCATTTCCTTTTCCACAATAGCATAATTGCTTTTTATGCAAGATGCTAAATGGTTCCTGTACCTTCCTATTTGTTCGCCAAGGTGCCTAATCTTTTCATCTACATATTCCTGGAAAGGTATATTTGGCTGTTGAGGGTAAGGGTATTCATAACCAACAAGGCTGGATAGGATAGGATCAGGAGAAGGAGAATTATGTAAAGCTGCCTGTTGCGATACCAATTGTCCTACTGCTTCGTGCCTATTGTCACAACGAATATCAAATTCTAATAAGAGTTGTTTGACCCTAACTTCTAGGCTATTCACCCGACGCCACAATGCATCGGTTTGCTCACCAAGTTGGGAATTTTGATGATTACTCGTTAGAATGAAAATTTGAGCAATTTCAGAGGTTAACGAATCAAAAATGCGTCTAATTCTTACAAATTGATCATGATTTTTGTTCTGGGCGGCAAAAATGATCTCGATATCCCTATTCAGAACGTTTAACTGGTTACCTACTTTTTTACGACGACGATCCGCATTCACAGATTCAAAACGTGGAATCATCCAACAAGGTAAGTGAGGCAAAATATACTTTGTTACCAGACTGTTCACCAGGACACCGAGCAAGAGGAGAACCGCAGCAATTCCAAACACTTCCATCATGAAGAGAAATCCCTCATACCACCATGATGACGATACGAGGGGCGCTGTTGCCTCTGAGGTCACGTTTCCCTTGAGGTTGGTGAGTCCGGTCATGTCGACGAAACCGAAGAGTTGAGTCAGCATTCCCATGATGTCGGATGTCGTTGCACCATGCAGGAAGTGAAGGAATATGTAATTTAATACGTAAAACACACTTTCCACTGCCAACGAATCGAAACTGTTCACTGTTTTTGCCCTTCGCACTTTTTATCGCGAAGGATTTCCAAGTTTATTATTGCACTTTTTATTACTAAGGGTTTCGTAGCACCAATTTGTAACGCTCCCTATTCGATTATGGGATTGCGTGTCCTGATTCACATCCACTTTCGCGGATGCCCCTTTTCTTTGTGACGTTGTGCAAGAAATTTGTAGTAGAAACTCACTTTTTTACAAGAATAATGAATAAATTTATTTACATCAATACCGACTGAAAAATATTGACTTTACAGAAATGCTCGTATTATAAATACGTGGGAGAGCTAATGCTATAATTTATATTTTAACTAATTATCTATACGGGAACTTATTATTAAGTTTTCGAAAATCTAAAACCTTGAACTTGATCTTGATGATCACTAAAACTAAACCTGCTGATCCTGAATCTAAAACTACACTTTCTTCTCTTCTCTCTCTGCTTACTCTATATATACGTGATCACATAAGCCACGCCTACTTGATCACTACCTTTACTTACGCTACATATGCACAAACTACGCCCTCATGATCATGATGATCATGATGACGTAGGCATCATTCTGTGCTCCTCATTCCTATCCTCTCTTCCCCTTCATGATCTCCTCCTGCACACAATATGGTTTGGAGACACATGAGAGGCGAGATACATATGAAAACTACATCTATGTATTTTGAATCCCTTGACCTTTGAAATGCTGATGTCACATTTGCATCAGCGTTCCAAAGGTTGCAGGATAAATACATTTTAAGAAATATCAAAATATTCACAACAATAAACCACATTTTTACTTACTCTCAGATTTTTAAATTATCTGGATAAATCTTATCTCGAAATTTATCTTGAAAAAGGAGAATTATATTGATATATATGTGTAATGAGTGTAATATAAGAAGATTTGACCGACTAATTAAAAAAAATCATATGAATCCTGCAAAATTTGGAATCGATATATTTCTCAAAATTAACGACTGATTTTTAACTGCAACCAATTTTTCCATGATGTAAGCATATCTGATCAAGTTATTGGTCACAAAATGTATATAATTTATTCTAATCAAATGCCACCTTCGTGCAAAGAAAGTGCAAAATGAGGCCAATTTTGCCAGGGCTGGACGCCAAAAGTTATATTTTAAATGAAAACAAATTACTGTATAATGATTTAGATATGGTCGGTGTAATGCCAAATTGTCATTTTTGTTTGCATCCATTTACATATTTTACGTCTTTATCAAATAAATCTACGCAAAAAATATGTACAAATTTTTGAACTGAATTTCATTCAAAATTATGACGCAGTTGTAAAAGCAAAAATCAGATAGATTTTCGCCTGTATTTTTTGGCAATAGACTCGTTAGCCCCCCTCCCCTTCACCTTCCTTTTCTAACCCGCTGGCCCAATATGGATTGTTACCTGTACACTTTCATTCATGTGACTGATTGTTGTAGAGAATCTTAATGAATGAAAATGAGTGAACGATTCAGTCATTTCAGATGAGTGACTTTGAATGAAAGGATTTCTCACTCCTTTCATTTTTCACCCCATGCTTTTAACACATGTGGCGAGGTAAGAAATGAAGTCAAATGAAGTGAAATGAATTTAAAAGAAAATGACTGAATGTGAATGAAAATCTTCACTCAGAAATCGGCATGACTGAAGTTTGAATGAAAAGAGTTTTTTTGAACAGGTATGTGTGAAGGTGGCGAAGGTCAAGTAAATAAATCAAGCTTTTACTTAACGTTAAATTTTACTTAACGTTACAAAATTAGGGAGAAGTTACTTCGATAATTTTCAAACCTAATTTTATATTTTTATGTATACTTCATAATTGCTACTTAATATTTTTTATTAGGATGAAGGGGGCAACATCTGTTAAATTCTTTTACAAAATGTGACACAAATATAATTAAGTAACGACTTGTAGTGTGCACAAAATAATTTTCTTAAAATTAAATTTGTATCTAAACTTTAATTAATTTTATAAATTCAAATTAAATTTTATTTTGAACGAGGATTTACCAGGAGTAAATTTCCAATATTTCTAACATATGTACATGTACAAAGAAATGCGACAAATAATGTGCCTTAAACATAAGTACATACAGTCAATTCACGCAGTTTTTGATACATTTTTTTTATTACAAATATTTCTGAAGAAAATTAGCTCCCATATTTTTGTAAACTTACTCAAATCAAGGGCGTCCATTTTGTAAAAATTTGTAAAATGTTTGTACAAAATTTATCCATTTTACCAAGTTACCAATGACTGCGTGAATTGCTTCATTATATTTTTAATACGGTCGGGTTTCTGTAAATATTTGCATACTACATAACATAACATAGCAGACGATGAACTGGTTTCGTATAATAAACACAAAAAACTTCCTTATTTACCTGACACACACGAGATTAGACTTTCAGGTTCACGGAGATTCATGAAACCTACTGAACTCCAATGTAAATACAAATTTAATTTTGTATTCCACATTCACTTTCTGTCTACCTGCGCACAAAAAAAGTGGAATTCATGCCCCGTCACGTAATTAATTCTATTCACAATTGTCTGTCAAGTTATGTCATGAAGATCCATTGTTAATTTTTCAAAGGATTCAACGGTTTTGATGCATTTTCATGTAACCTCGTGGCCACCCTTTGTTCTCGATGCGTCTAAATGTCATTCGTCTGACGAAAAAAACGGTAAATGTGACTCAAGTGGGTGATTTATAAATAAAGCTGACGCATGAAAACTCATGAATGGTCATGAAGGAAATATTGTACTCCTGCGTAAAGAATGTGATGCAGATTTTGTATTTTGGAAGGATTTTGACTCCTGCTCGAATTGATTAAAGTTTTGTGTGCACGGCCCCAGGCATAAAATCATGAAAATGAGTCACGCGTTCATGAAGGTCGTTATGAATTATCTAGAGTTTACTTGGAAAATGAGAAATTTCCTGGAATTTGAGACGCAGTAAAACCTTTTAATTATTGATTTATTATACTGATAAACCATGGGTTTACATGTGGTTTGACGATTTCATGATTTTCTTGACTTGCACAGTTTTAATTTGCAATGTTCTTTCATGAACTAAAATTCTGGAATTATTTGTGTGTGTCACTTAATTTGCGTAAATTTCACGACGCCAATTTTCGGCGATATGGGCTTTCCATACTCGTTCTTTCGCGAATCCGGTAAAATATGCAAATGAGGTGACACGCAGAAATAATTCCACGCTCTGTACCTCTTGTTGGCTATTGAGTTCAGGATTTTTAACGGTGTCAATCAAATCTCGAACCATTTTTGTTTACCAGTGGCCGCGGAAGCGCTGGGGGGACAGAGGGACAATGTCCCCACGGTGGTTCGATGTCGCCATCATCTCCCCATGTTATACAAACCCCTCCCTCCATTATCCTACCCATATTAATTTACCCACGTGTCCCCACCACGTGTTCCGCGGCCACTGTAGTTTACTGATGACTTATTAGTGTTGAGTCATGAAAAATTTATGAAATTTCATCAAAATATGGAAAAGCTTACCCAGCAATATTTTTCAATATGTATGGGGACATTCATTCATGATTTCTATGTTAAAACCGTTTCATGGAAATAGTATGATTCCATGGTAAGTGGATTGGCATTGGATGCGTCGTGCTCTTGTGTCACTTACTTAGAAATCGAGCTGGTTTGTGGGTATAAAAGGCGAGCTGATGTCATTTTTGGTATCAGTTTACCCTTCTTGCACACCTTTTGTAGTTTGTTACGTAATCAAAGCTTATCCAAAGAAAAGTACATAACTAAATTGATATTGGACTAATCGATAAATTCAGGCTGCCAATAAGGAATGGGAAACAATGGTAAATTTTTGATTAACATACTTTTGGAAATATATAAATATAAAATATAAAGAGTCGCATTATTATTTCGTAATTGTTGGGGGAGGATAATTTGCATAATTTTTGCATATCTTCGAGTAAGGTGCTAACTGATTTGTTTACTTGGCCGTAGTATTTCTCATGTTTCCAATATGGATGGTACCGTGGCAGGGATGAAAAGGCACAAAAAAATCAGTTAGCACCTTAAATGCACCTAAAGTGGTAATATGTAATTTTTAGGGTTGGGCCAAACTCGGGGGTTTAATAAATAAAATAACAACCCAGGGGTTTTACTGGGTTTTTAGCAATAAATTCAATAAAAATTTGTCGCAATTATTACAAATGCAAATTAAATCGTGTACAAATTCTCCTTGTCAGTATTAGAACTTGATTCAATTTTAAAATTAGCATTTTTTTATAAAATGAAACTTTTGATGATCGAAGTCGAAATTTTAATATTGACGAAATAAACTTCTACGTCTCCTGTTTCTTAGTGTCTACTTCCATTGAATTGTCTTCATCTTCGTCTAACGCATGAGAGATGTTTTAAACTTTTAGAAATGTAGTAAGCCCCTGTTAAAACACAGTTAAAACCCATTATGACCCAAATAAAACCCCTTGACATTGTAAAACTCAGTTGAACCCCACTAAACCCACTTACTAATTAATAAAACCCGCTATATAATTACGGTTAAAACCACTGTGTTTAACCATGTTAGGTGGGTTTTATTCACTTACAACTCATCAAAACCCAATAAAACCCTGGCTCAGAATACCCTGGTAATTTCAATAATTTTATATACAGCATTTCACTTATATTGGTTGATAATAATGGTTACTCTATGATAAGATCCCTGCAATTCGTGACGTAACAAAGGTTTTGTCAACTTTGATGCTAGCTAATCCTGCAAAATTTGCACATTTTTTCCATATGTTCGAGCTGGGGGAATATTTCCGGGATAAAGCATCTATCTGTCAGAAATTTTGAAAGTTTCTGGGAATTTTTTTTGCATTTTTATGTGAATTTTCCTAGATTTTCTTCCCACCCCCACCGTTTTCCGGGAACAAAACAGAAATCTAACGCACGTTTTTTCGGTCATGACAAGGCAAATTTCGGCAGGTTTTGCGATCAGACAGAATTTGCTCGAAGTTGGAAAGTTTTGATGCCAAATTTTACAATTTAGAAATATCTCAATGCGTGAATTGATTTTAATAGATGGAATTCCGTTTACGTCTACTTTTCAAACACGTTTACTCCATTTTTCATACAACTTTTCCAATTTCCTGACTTTTCGAATTTTTGTAGTTTTTCCAAAATTTTTTAATATTAAGCTTTTAAGCTATTAAGCTTTAACAAAGCTTGAGTATTAAATATTTTGCACACGCTAAGGTCTCTACTAAAAATTTTATAAATGATTTAGACAAAAGTTTTACAATAAATATCCCAAGTAACAAATAATTGCAAATTAATTAAGAATTACTAATTAATAAATACAAATTAATTAAGAATTAAGAATAACTAATTGCAAATTAAGCATTAATGAATCATTAATAAGTGTGAAACTGACTTAATTAAAATTTTCAACTAAATGAAACGTTTTAATGTTTTTTTCAGAACTGACGCGTCGTCCAACAAATTCAAACCGTTGTTCATCTTCTTCCGTGTCGTGGACGAATTCGCCGCAGCTGCCAACTCCAAGGACGCCATCGGTTGAAGACGAGCCCGACATGGCGCAGGTGATGACGACGCTACGAATCCTGTCCCAAGCCACGATCTCAAGAAGACAGCAACTTCCTGCAACTTCTTCGACGTCAGTGACATGTCCGAATTGTCAGAATCAATTCGTCGCAGATAAATCGTACCGACAAGGCGTCCCTAATCGGGAAGGCATTTTGGAAAATTTGAGACAAATGGTGAGCCGCCAAATTCAAAATTGTAATAAAACTAATTTAAACCAAGTATCGATACTTGGTTTAGAGTCACGTTGGTTAGGAGTGGCGTTTTTTTGTTATTACCAAATTATTTTAAGTTTATCAATTTGTGGTAAAAATTTTGTTACCAAGTTTACCAATCGATAATTTTTATGGTGATAATTACACAATTTTTTAAATCTTCCACTTAATTGCCGCCAAGTTCAAAATTGTTAGGAACCAATTTGAGCCACACTTGGTTAGAGTCGCTGCGTTTCTAGCTTATTTTCCTTTTACCAATTTTGTTACCGAATTTACCAATCGAAAGTTTTTAAGGTCAAAATTACACGATTATTTTTAAATCTTACCGTTTAATTTAGGAGGTGCAGTTGCGATCTCGTGGTGAGGCGCTGCCCGCGTGGGTGGAGGCGTACCGCGCGGGCGATACGATCAAAGCAGCCAAACTGCTCCATCTCAGCTACACGGCGGGTGGGAGGAGTGCCCTTCAGCGACCACGTGCCAGACACGTGCTTCAGGAAGCCACGTCAACCACGCGAACAGCGGAACAGGAAATGCCTTCATCTTCTGGGCAGGACGTTAGCGAAGGCAGAAATACGGACGATGAAAGAAATAAAAGAATCCGTTTAAATTCTGGGAAAATTTAAGGACAACATTTTGGACGATTTGGGATTTCGAATTTTAAGAATTGTTTCAGACCTCGAATTTTAGGAATTTTTTGGGACCTCGAATTTTAGGAATGAATTATCTTGGACCCTCGAATTTTACTAATTTTTGGGGGACTTGTACAGTCGGAGTTTGTTCTATTTTCTGATAGATTGGACAATTCTTCGGGATTTTATACATAATGTACATATTTCTGCATTATTATGCTTGCGTAATTTATTATATTTGTATGCATATAAACTTCTCATAATTTCTAAGTACAAAATATTCAAATCAACAATTCTTATTATTGTAAGCTTCATGTAAAAATGATTAACATTATTTTGCACTTAATTTTACAGGGTTAAGATTCACAAGTTAATTACAATGGCAAATTTGGTTGCACTAATTATGTAATTTATAAGAAAAATGTGTGGAATTAAATATCCTAACTTAATTTTTCCAACAATCTTTGGCTAAAAATATGTAATCTTAAATCTGTGTAAAATTAACGTCAGTAATAATTTATTTTGTACAAAATCCATTTTGAATTCACAATTAGATCTTTTAGCGACTGGAACTCAGGATTGCAGGTTTAAAATTTTTATTTGAAATATGATTATTATTCTGAAGCAAATTTAAGGGTAATACTGTAAATTCGTAAGTGCAAAATTCTTGCGAATTCGCCAACCAAATAAAACTACTCGGTATTTGAGCCCAAAAATTATTGAACTATTGCTTTTTAAAGTATAATATCGAATATCAAAAATATCGCAGATTTTTCAACGAAGAAGGTATAGAAATCGTGAAATTGAATGAAAAGAAGTAGTGTAAGTATTAATGATATGACAATTCAGGTAATCTTACAAACTGCGTAACTTGTGTAAAACTATTTATGTTACAAATTTGTACAAAAAAAATAAAGCTACCTGCGCCTAAATTCCGTAGTATAAAATAAAACTACAATTTATGTAATACTTTTCCTTATACAAATTTTGAAAAAATTTAATTTTCAGAAATTTAAAAAATATTCTAGTCAACTGGCTAAATGCTACGCCGATGAAGAAATTAATGTAGAAGTTTGTCGAGTATGGTAAAAAAATAGGTACGTTGTTGTCGGTATATAAATTTTTGATTTGAAAATAACATAGTTATCAAAACTTAATCCTTAGCAAATTTTGTATTTAAATTGCTACACTCTAAGAAACCCGGTAACTAAGTTATTACCAGGCGGAGTGTCTATGTGACTCTACTGCATGGTAATAAATTTATTGAGTGGTAGACATTTTGTTACCAAACCGGTAATAACCCCGGTCGCGAAATTTGAAAATAGTACCATCTGGTAACTAATTTTCTACCACTCAATAATAAATAAATTACCATGCGGTAGAGTCACATAGATTCTCCACCTGGTAATAACTTAGTTACCGGGTTTCTTAGAGTGTAGAAACTTATGCATTTAGTGGTAACATAAATTCGACCAAATTTCGTCACATTATCTGCTGGTGAAAATCCAATTTCTAACTTTCATCTTTCATTTTGGACAAAATTGCGTAAACTTTTTATTTTTTATTGATCTTCTAGTTTGCCTAAGCTGACAGATTTCTCTTCGTAATCTTTATGCATGTTTTTTCCAATTTGTGCACGATTATAAAATATGAAGTGAACTATGAAGTTGCAAGATTTTGAAACAATTTAATTTTCAGAAATTTACAAACTATTCGAGTTAACTGGCTAATGTTACGCCGACAAATAAATTAATGCACAAGTTTTTTTTTGCGTATGGTAGAAAAAGGTGAAGAAAAAATTTGAATTTTTGACCCACTTATATTATTTAATCCTACTCGGAAATTCTAAATTTATTACGGCCACCAGGTAACGTATCCCAGGCGAGCCAACAAATTTACGGTCGGGTACAGGGGAATTGGATGAGGTGTTGCACTCGGTTTGAAGAAAAACCTGGGGCAATCCTCTGAATGGAGTCTCTGATCAACCTGCCAGCTATGTCGGAATTCGTATATCCCCGAGGTGAGTTTGAAAACGTTCCCCCCTTTTGGGGGTGTGGTCGGGGCAAAATGAGATTTTTGCTAAAATTGAATCTAAAGGTGAAATGAAATGAAATTAAGTGTTCCCTTTCTTGGGAGTGGCTGGGGTGACGTGAGACTGGAGCTACTGCTTTGTGTGCGTTTGACTCTTTTGATGATTAAATATAAAATTAATCAACTTGTTCATTTATCACGCAACACTGATTAATTTTATATTTAATCATCAAAAGAGTCAAATTTTGTCTAGTGTTGAGTAAAACATACATCACATAATTTTATTGTGTAATTTTACGTTTATGAAGTTTAAATTTTGTCATACGTTGAACAAAATTTTAACAACTTCATTTTAATCAACTAGCTTTGCCCAACTTTATTTGGAGTGTATAAATAAATGCAAATGTCAAACGCACACAAAACAGTAGCTTCGGTCTCCGTCACGCCAGCCACTCCCACGAAAGGGAACACTTAATTTCACTTCATTTCATCTCTAGATTCAATTTTAGCAAAAATCTCACTTTGCCCCGACCACACCCCCAAAAGGGGGGAACGTTTTCAAACTCACCTCGGGGATATACGAATTCCGACATAGCTGGCAGGTTGATCCGAGACTCCATTCAGAAAATTGCCCCAGGTTTTTCTTCAAACCGAGTGCAACACCTCATCCAATTCCCCTGTACCCGACCGTAAATTTGTTGGCTCGCCTGGGATACGTTACCTGGCGGCCGTAATAAAATAAACTTGTTATCAAACCTTGTAAGATTTAAATTATTTATAACCAATTAATGATTTTGAATTACAAAATTTGAGTGCACTTAAAATTATAAAACTAGAAATTTGACAGATTTTGTAAAACTACTTGTTTGAAAGTTATATACAAATTTTCCCTGCAAATTGGAACGTGTTTCCAGAGTTCGAGAATTATTCATAGAGTATCTTCAAATTAGATTAGATTTATAAATTGAAATAGATTTCTAAATAAATTAGACTACTGCACTTTTACAAAAATTGTTAGTTTACGGATTTTAGAAATCCACTGACTAAATGTATTAAAATCCACTGACTAAATGTTACGCCGGGAATAAGTTAATGAAGAAAGTTGAATGTATCGGATAATGCTATTTCAGATCAAAAAACGTGAAAATACATCTTTCAATCAAAGTGAATTTTGCAATAAAGTGGTGTTAAAAATTGAAAATTTTGAAAATTTATTGAAAATTACGCGATGTAGAATTTAGAGTTCAGCTAATATTCTTAGATGTGTTATTTGTTACAAATTACAAATTTCTGAATTTCTACATGCACTAGATTAATTAATATTTGTTTTTGTGATTTGAACTTTAATTGTATATTTTGTTGGGAAATTATGACTGATTTGTCCTAGCCCCTTTGAAATCTTTGCAAAATTATGTTAATATTTGTTATTGGCGGATTTTGTAAAATATTAAAATTCAATGATTAAATGTTACCCCGATAAATAAGTTAGGAAAACAAATTATAACAGATAATAAAGGTTCACCCAAACTTTGTCCTACACTCAAAATAAAAATTTGTCAAATCAACACCGCCGGTGTCAATACATGACTTAACCGCCTTGGTCACAATGTTGAATCCGAGTTATGATGATTTTGATACCGGTAGTTATAATGTTATGACCGGACGGAAAAAATTCATTACTACTCGGAATCACAATTGTAACCAAGGCGGTTATGTCATATATTGACACCGTTTTGTTTTGAGTGTACCAGTCCAGGGTTAATTTTACTTATTTTTTGTAAGTGAAACGTCTTTGCATTGCCCGTTCTTAATTTTATGTTTTTATTTTTGCATGTTTTTATTTTATGTTTTTTTATGTTTTAATTTCTTTAGAATTTTGTATGTATTGGATTTTGGATTGGCTCAAAATGATTGCTAAATAAACAAATGCTCTCAACAAATTTAGAACATATGAGCATGTTTCCTTACTATTTTCAGACCATGTGTATCCATCCACAGAGGAGAAAACGCGTAGTAAATATGGAAAGTGTAAAATTTGTCAACTTTTTAACGCATTCTTTCCTCTTCGCATGCAAATGTCTCTGCCAAACGTGACCATTGGGAGTTCGCGTCTCGGTAGAAAGTTTTTATGGGCAGTTATACTTTTAATATCAAGCGGTAGCAAGTTTAATGCCGACAAATCAATACCTGCCTGGCTTTGGCTGATTTCATTCAAGGCTTCAAACAGGACACCTGTTAACTACCAAATGCAGTAAACTTGTAAGCTAATTTCCTTATCGGCGTGACATCTCGAATATTTTGTAAATTCCTGAAAATGAAATTTTTCCAAAATTTCGCCAGTGTATTTAAATTATATTTTTAATTGTTTCATGAACTTTGGATTTGTTTAGATCCTGACCTTTGAGAAATAAATGCTTTCAGCAACTTAAGAAAATATGGACATGCTCTCGAGCACATGTTTCGCTGTTTATCATACTAGTAGATTTCCGGATATCTCTGCCAAACGTTGGGAGATTGTGTTTTTCGCAAATTTCATACAAATTAAATTTGTGATCGGAAATTTTGAATTTAAAATAACGCAAAAAAACTCGTTTGATGGTAAAATTAAATTATTTGAAAACAATTTCCGATTTTGGATTGAAAAATTGGTTGCATTTAACGTGCTTCATAAAGCTAGAAATTTGCCAGGTTTCGTCAAACTATGTATTTGTTGGAAAGTTACAGAAATTTCCAAGCAAATGTGAATGAGCACTAATAGAAATCTGGGATCGTGAGGTAGGTAATGATTTCTCGGTATTAAAGTTGCGTGTGCTCCTGCTTGGCCAAACTTATGGACGAGCATCACGCACCACGGCATCAAAAAATAACCTAAATTACATCAGGTACACTTTTTAAATTTGAAAAAACTGGAAAACCTTCAGGTTCAAAATTCAAAACTTTATTTTAGGAGAATTGTTTTCATATTTTTAAATGTTTTAAATGTGTTTAAATTTTTAACATTTCGGTGACGTTGGATGCGGATGGTAGGATTCCGGGATTCTGGTAGTGGACAATGTATTATTCACAGTTGAGTACAGGGGTCTGTTTGCGTCCATGTCTCAAATATTCAGTAAAGAGTTTTGCAATTAATTGGTGCAAATAAAACTTCAACTTACTGATACTGCAAAATTTCGCAATTGTAGAATTTAAAGCTAAAATTCGATAAATAAATTAATGGATAACAGTTGTAATTTTGAACGTATACTGTTTTTTATTTTTAAATCTACTAGAAAATTTTGAATTTTTAAATAACGCAAAAACCTGTTTGATGGTAATTTGGAAACAATTGAATTACAAAATTTGAGTGCATTTAACATGCTTCAGAAATTTGCCAGATTTTGTTGGCAAGTTATACAAATTTCCCAAATCTGAATGTGCACTGTTGGAAATCTGGTATATTCATGCAGGTATTGATTTTTCGGTATTAAAGCTACTACCGCTTGGTATTAAAATTATACCGGTCGCTTAAAATTTGCTACTAACATGACAAAACTTTAATACGGAGTCATTACTACGCATATTACTTATCGATACCAGTTTGGTAGAGCCATATATGAATACCGCCTGGTATTATTTTAATACTGGATTTCTGAGAGTGTGTTTCCAAATTCACGAAATTATTTCAGAGTATTTTCTAAATGCATTA